TGTGCATTTGTTTTTAAGGGCAGGAAGCCAAACAATACAGTTTCGCAAAAGCTTTTTTCATTAGTGCATTTTTGGGCTAAAGAGGATAAAGTTCTGCTTGCGAAACAGAAGTAATCTTGTAGGCTTGTCGCGTACTTCCTCGCATAAGCGCTGAATGATAGTATTAAGAATTGCATTTGAGACTTCAACGACAGGTACAGTGGCCATAAAAGATCCGTAGTGACTAGGACGTATTCTAGGTTCTGTAAAATGACGGACGTTTATGGTCCGTGCACCGGAAGTGCTGGAGAGTGCTCCCAAACAGGCTGACATACATTGTATTGGTTTAGCGGCATAGTAACCGGCTTAGCGGTTACCAATAGAAAGTTCTTGTCATTGAGATAAACCTAATTTTGTAATTAATTTGTAGTCCGAGTCGTCACTGGCGTAGCCCGGCTGAATGGCTCCATGTGATGCTATCAAGGAGTGCCTTTTTGTGATCCTGTCGACAGTGCTTGGTGTTGCACTACAAACAGGGATCAACCTTTTTACAACAAAATGTGAGGTGAAAACAATGTTTTGTAATAGTGTCCGAACCTAAACTGACCGTATACTATAACAACGCAGAGATGCACGGACAAGAAAACGGACGACATACGGCACAGTGTGTCTTCGCGCTGGTGTAGTATACGATCCCTCATTTCAAACGGGCTTAAGCCGCCACCATTCTAAAGAGGTAGTCTTTGCGTTCATACGTTACGCACATATTGCATGCAAAGGTGGCTTAATCACCTTGTATAAATTAATTTATTTTAAAATTAAAAAGGCTTCATCAGCGGCATTTTTATTGCAGGAACAAGTGCCAATCAAATGTGCAAGGACTTTGACATGCCTGCCACGGCCCTTGCGAGTCTTCGTCAAAGATCTCGGGACCACGCCGTTGCACTAGGGCTTTTCTAAGACGAAGTACTTCCTCTGCCGGTCACTCATGAATATGAATGTCACCTGTACATAGCAGACATTTCTTCAACAACAGCTACTTAAAAAAAAAAAACTAATTTTTGCAGTTGATTACGTTGATTTCTTTTTTATGTATGTCTGTCCACTTGAATTCATGATTTACTAAAATGTACAGTGCCAAATGCTACCATGAAGATTCTTAGGTGCAATTACATTGCACGAACACAGAAAATGAAATAAAGTGACCATGTATGAAACATTGTCTATTACTCAAATATTTGACGTCATGTCATAGCCAGAGGGTGGCAAACCAAGCCCGTGCTCCCCCCTCGCCCATTTTTTCGCCATGGTGTACAGAGTAAAAAATGACCATAATAAGGGGGTGCCCCTCGCAAAATCAAAGAGGTATCCACCACCTCGAAAAACATTTCTGCCGATGCCCCTGCCATGGCTAGAATAAGGATGATGGACCTTAATTTCTTTGACGCGACTATGTGTCCAAGCAATGAAGCCTCATAGCAAATGAATGCACAAGCATGTAATATAAAGGGAGCACGTAAAATATTAAGAATATGATGAAATAAAATAAAAATGGGCCTCTTATAATGCAGGAATTCATGAGTGTGTCCTCCACATAGATACCTATATTAGGCGCGATCAAATAAAAATTGGCAGCCGACCCCTGAAGTGAATGGTGATGAAGGAGGGAAACTCCTTGGACCATTACAAAATGTTTATGAAATGTAATAAATTATTAAAACGGTGTGCAGGTGGCCGCCGGGGCATGCCAACAGGCACTGGTGGCACCTCGTAGCGGACTGTAAAGCACCCGCGCTTTGCTTTGACCACATTCATACTATCAATCGGGTGATAGAGAAATGCTCAGAATACACTTAACCACTATGCGTAGCTTTTGCAGATTATGGGAAGTCATTTGATTCAGTAGAGATATCAGCAGTCATGCAGACACTGCAGAATCAGGGCGTCGACGAAGCATATATAAACATCCTACAAGAAATCTACAGCGGATCAACTGCCACCATAATGCTCCATAAAAATAGCGACAGAATACCAATAAAGAAGGGTGTAAAACAAGAAGATTCGATCTCCTCTATGCTATTTACCATGCGTTTACAGGAGGATTTCAAAGGCCTACAATGGTAAGAGTTAGGGATGCGAGTTGACAGAGAGTACCTTAGTAACCTGCACTTCACCGATGTCATTGCATTGCTTAGTAACTCTGGGAACGAATCACAATTCATCATTACTGAATTAGACAAGGAGAGCTGAAAGGTAGGTGTTAAAATTTATCTAAAGAAAATGAAAGTAATGTACTAAAACAATCTCGGAAGAGAACAACGCTTCGAGACAGGTAGCAATACGCTTGAAGTTGTAAAAGAGTCTGTCTACTTAGGATAGGTAGTAACCGCAGAGCTGAACCACGAGATTGAGCACATTTGGCATGGCACTCTCAAATCATGGCAGGTGGATTGCCACTATCCCTCAAGAGGAAGGTATATACAGCTGCATCTTGCCGATGCTTAGCTACGAAACAGAAAGCTGGAGGATTACAAAGAGGGATCAACTTAAGTTGAGGACAACACAGAGAGCAATAGAAAGGAAAATGATAGGTGTAACCCTAAGGGACAAGAAGAGAGCAGAGTGTATCAGGGAACAAACAGGTGTTGAAGGGACACTAAAGGCAACTATTAAGTCGACATTGATTGCTGAAATAGCAGTCCAGAAACCTTGTAGTGTTACCTTTGTGCCAAGGAAGTGCTTACGTTGAAATAAAATCTTGCTTTATTGGTCCGCATCCGGTTAGTGCACTTCAAATTACCCGCCTCAAGAGGTTGCCCGGCATTATTGCAGCGCCACCGTCACTAGTAGTAGCAGAACAAAAGCAGCAGGAGCCACAGCAGCAGCAACGGCCGTTGAACAATTTCCTGCCAATGGCTCCGAGATGGCAGACATGCTTGATTCAACTGGGACCCTCTAGATCAGTGGTGTTAACTTTTTTTCTGCAAAAGTCGCCAGGATGCTTCTGAAAAGTCCCCAATTTAAGCCAAAAGTCTCCAAACGATGATGATGATCATATCATTTTTATTTTAACAATATTTTAAATCAAGTACTGTTGCGTCGAATCAAGTTGGACTGTGCTGCTACCTCCTGGCTATGCCACTGTAAAGTGGTGAGCGCCACAAAAAGTTTGACACTGTATACTGCGGCCTCATTTATTGAAGCTCGTTCCAAGCATTCCATCATTCTCGCAGTCTTCTAATTTTCTATGTGTGTTTTATGACACTCTAGCTCAAATTTCGAGTCCTCCAAAAAGCTGCGAAGACTCCAAAGAGACTTAATTGTCACTAGCACGACTGAAAAGATGCTAAGTTAACACCACTGCGCTAGATGGCACGACCTGTATGGTTTAACCAGGTGAAAATTGAACTTTTGAAACACTCGCGCCATTTCCCTTGGTAACATCCAGTGGTTGTTTTTTTTCATGAATCAAACCACAAAGAATAGGTAGCATTTTATTACATCTCTTGATGCACGAAAAGTTCTCTATATTTAGTCCAGCTAGTTCGATTACTAGAGATTAACTGTAAACGGTTCGTCTGACGTCATCGAGATCATTTTGAGAATGTCCTACTGCGGTTCATTTCTTCTTGTGCATTTACCTTAATTTATTGGTAAGTAGGGCACTGATGTTGATAATATTGTCCTTATAGATCTTGTCACGTAAATTGTTATTTGACATTAGTATCCACTTCAAGACACCATAGTTGAAATCAAGAAGAAATGATCATGGGCAGGGCATGTAGCGCAAAGGAAAGATAACCGCTGGTCATTAAGGATCACAGAATGGGTTCCAAGAGAAGGCAAGCAAGGGAAGTGGAGACTGAAAGTTGCGTGGGCATACGAGATTAGGAAGTTTGTGGGTATAAAGCCGCAGCAGCAAGCACAAGAGCGAGTTGACGGCGAAACATGGGAGAGGCCTTTGTTCTGCAATGTGCATAGTCAGGCTGATGATAATGATGCAAGAACGCATGCCTGGACGGACAGATACATGAACGCACTTAGCCGTCGCCGGACACTTCCGTGAATTCCCCCTCTCACGGTATCCGGGAGTGCAAGACGAATTGCTTTTATTTCACGCAATCTCAAATACCACTGGCGAAATGCGACGTCACTGGCAACTTGCGTGCCAACCGTATTAGCAGTCACCCGCGTCTTGCAACCTATGAATGGCACCAGCACATAAACAGTGGGGCACATCTCGGTGCATTGTGGGAATGAAAGAGTGGGATGTAGAAGAGGTGGAGAGAGGCAAGTAGGACAGCAACCCGTGCCCTCTGCATTCGGTAAGATGACTGACGTCGCGACTAGTGCGAGTAGAACCTCGATCAAGTAGTACCCCCCCCCCCCCCCCTTTTTTTTTAAAATTTTCGTTTAGTATCTTTTTGAAGAGCAGGCTCCCCCACTTTTTGGAAACGGCACGACCGACATATCTGTTTTAGTAAATGTGCTTGCTCGATGCGTGGGTTGGCTTCTGCACTAGAAATTCGTTCTCACCATGGCCACACAAAGTGAACCGTAACAACGGGAAGACCGCGCCCACCAAACCACCATTGGCCGATTTTCGCAGGCGCTGCCTCTCGCCTATGGCACACTTTGGGTAGAAACAGATTTTTTGCGCTAGCAATGGGAAGAACATGCTGGCGGCAAAACACAAGCTTTTATAAAGGTATCTTTGTGTCAAACTGGATTTGAGTTTACACCCTGCAGCAGTTGGAGTGGCAGGGCCCAAGCAGGAGCGTAGCCAAAAATTTTATCGGGAGAAAGGGGGGGGGGGGTTCAATTACATTCTGCATGTTTGTGCATCTATTGTATGTGTGTATGTATATACATGCATAAAAACGTCGAAAAGAGGGGTTGAATCCCCCACCTGGCTACACCCTTGGGCCAGAACATGTGTTGGCAGTGATGAGGCTCCTTATTTAGCTCTCTTCCTCCGAGTGTTTCCTTTATGGCTATACAGGCAAGTGGGGCACACTTCAGTGAATGAACACGTATTGAACTATTTATTAGGTCAATCAATGGTACAAAAGTGACCAGTTGCACCAGATGATCACAGTACAGGTAATACGTACAATAAATGGTTGCCCGTTAGAAGCAAACTTAAAGGGGTCCAGCAACATCTTTTCAGTCAATTATCAAGTGACTTTGTTAAAGAAGTCTATGGACTCACGAATCAACTGCTGCAAACTTTTCTTTAAATCTGTCAAGCACGAATGGAGTTTACGCAAAGAGGAGGAGATGATAAAGGAGGTAAGTAGCTACATTCCATCACGTCATGACCTCGAGTACTTTTTATTTGGAATGTGCTGGCACAATGAGGCTTCCCACGGAGGCCGTGGTAAAGATGCGCCTCACTATTCTCAAATTGACCAATAGCCACGAACTGTGTTAATAGTGCAGTCATTTAGGTTTACGACGTAATCTGTTGAGAGATGAGCGAGCAATATCTGGATGACTAAGAAATAATTGTAAATTACAGGCTACATGCTGTGCTATATTGTTTGGCTCGCACGTCTCCACGAGCCTCGCCTAAATATTTGCTACATTTTTTGACCATCCAGTACAAGTGTTGCAAATGGGTTCTGTGGAAATCCGCAAGGTAGCGGGTCCCGCCCTTCCGCTGCATTGCGGGTTTCTGCAGAACTTCTTTGCAACACTAGTGTCCATGCGCTTTGAGTTGTCGATAAATTCACCCCTGCGCTGTCGATTTCTGGCTACCGCCCCGGAAAGTCCAACCATGAACCAGGATGAATTTTTCGGCAACTAAGAAGCTTTTCCTTCCAAGAGATATGTATGGGTTTTCTTGTGGCTTCGTGCTACAAAGGGGTGGTTGTCGTCTTTCCCTTTCTGAACAAGTGTTGCAAGGCCCCTCTAAAGTAGCACTCGTAGCAAATGAAAGCAAGCTTTAAATAAACGGTGATGAAATTACGCAAGAATGTCACAAGTAAAAAGTGAAAAATGAAAAAGAGAAATATAAAAAAGACAGAAAAGAACAAGTTCATGACATAACTGCTCTTTAAGCACAAGTAAAACGACATCTAAGGGTGCCTAAATGAATGTCATGGCTGAATGGTGATAGAAACTAAGTTACGTGCAGTCTGACCAAAGCTACAAGTATAAAACTGAACACTTTTATAGCATCGCGGTGGCATAAGCTGTTAGGGTATATGCAGCAGCATTTTCGTAACGCATTGACAATCACACAATTATGCCAGCCAACAAACCAGAAGGAATTTGTAAAGCCTTTGGGTGATGCTGCCCTAAAGTCCTCAAGTGTAAGCAATAAGGTTTTCGTCAGCTGAGGGAATGCACAAACATCGTTCAAAGGTATGTGGGGATTATCACATTGACTCAACCTTCAATGCAAAGCAGCGATGCGCAAGAACAGCATGTTTTGAAGTTGCATTTCTGAACTGCATTAGACGTCTCACAACAGTGACATCAAAGAACGCTGCCACCTGCATTATTGAAACTGTGGCACCCCCGAGGAGCAGAAGACAGGAGAGCATCACTGCACTGAAGTGCACTCGACATTCTGTTTGCACTGCATGCATCATGGTGTGGTACGTGTCCAAAAAGTACACTAGTAGTGGACAAAAAATAGTCAAGAAGCAAGATCACAAAATGTAAACTTTTTTCTGTGGAATGCATTGAGTGCAAGTAATTACTCTGAACAAAACCATATATAGATAATTAGTTAGAAACCATTGTCACAAGTTAAAAAAAGCACCAAACTTCACACAGGCTTTGTCGTGAAAAACATTTGTCAATTTTACATTTATCAATTAGTACTGTTGTACTATTGTAAAAGAAAATGTACTATTGTAAAAGAAACATTTGTAAAAGAAATGTGAACAGAAAACAAATGACTAGTGCTCCCATACGTTGAAAGTTTTTACGGCCAATGCCATAGTCTACAAAGGACACTAAAAAACACTAAAAACACTGAACACTAAAAAAAAGTTGATGTGGCCAACATTAATGTCATGCATTATGCTTGTGCAGACGTGACTAGCAGTGGTGATGACAGAAATCCAGTCCCTTGACACAAGTGCCTTTGCATGGTGCGCCAGATTTGTTCATTCCGCTGCAGCGGCGCCGAGAGCCCACTGGATAACAGCGACGTATTCGAAGCAATGCTGGAAAAGAACGATGGTCTTTGTTAGCTAAGCATACGCAAATCAGAAAGTGATAAAACTTAGGTCATTCCTTTCTAAAGTTAATTTACTATCACAGCAACTTTCTTTCACAGTGGAGATGGCCATAGTTGGTCGAAAAACCCTGCACGGATTGGAAGCAATAGTAATGAAAGTGAAATGTGACAAATGATAAATATAAACGCAGATTACCCCAGATTTTATGAGCATTGTTCAATGGCATTGTTGCTGTGTTGTTGTCGGCAGCGTCGCCATTGATGTCCCAGTCTGCGAAGTGCCCTTTTCAGGGAGCCTCCTCATTGGGAGTTACATGGTGCATCAAAGCGCAATTATCACGAGAGCCTAATTTGTGGACTTTGCATCTATGGCAAGGAACTAAGCACCAGTGATCGGGCATCCTTGGAAACACCAGTATGTAACGCACGTGTAGAGTTTCGACATCGTACACTACCGAGTAGCCTGCTGTGGCCCATGAAATATGTGCACAGACACAAGGTATGCTAATATGAAGGTCAAAACCTCGTACATTTTATCAAGAAGTACTGTTACTAAAGTATACCCATCCCTGCAGCGACGAGTTATAACACCACCAACACATGGTAACTTCTGTTGTAAGCGCAAATACACTCAACATGCAGACTCCTGCACCAATAGCTTACGATTCTCTACCAATTCCAATGTCTCTGCTTTTATCGAATGATGTGCTGAATCACGTAAACAGGTATGCACAATTTCCAAAGATGGATGGATTGATGCCGGAAGCCCAGGTTTGCACTTTAATACACCAATAAAATGCTCAACGGGCGACACAAATTTTTCTATGATCGGGTGAGTGCGCTCACTTTTGGGAACTAGTACATCAGGGCAAACACACCTGATCAATGTGGATTGTGGTACAGGTACTTGTCGGAACATCTCAGATTAAACCCCCCCCCCCCCCTCACACTATAGAAAACAGTCTCCCTTCACGACCTTTATCAAAATGAAATAAGCATTCATTTCCGGAATCTATCGGGGCTGTACCACAATACCAAAAGAGGTGAACGTAGCTTAATACTCAGAAAGATGCTCTGTGCTTAATGTGCTGCCACTTACCTTCGGTCTGGCGAATCGCGAAAGCTGGCACGAGAACCGCTTTTGAAGCAGGAAAGAAGGTTCTGCTTCGTCAAGTGTCCATTCTCCTAGAGGGAAAGAGAAAAAAACAGAACTGATCAAATAGCTTTGATAAAATAATAACATTATACTATGGCAACAGCCCTGATTACTCAGTTGTTGGAAATTCCAGCGTCTCTAAGATGCATGCGGTAGACTCGATAAACTGGACCTAAAGGAACCAGGGAAATATGTTCCATTTAACGGGAGTTCCGTACGCTGAGAGAGGAACAGAGGTAAAAAATTCAAGCACTAAGCTAATCATATAGAGGTTTATTGGCAATCTACCATAATTTAGGGCAAAACGTACAGAGTTTATTGTGGATCCTATAGCGTACAGTAAATGAGCTTGGCTCATCCAAGCAGAAACTGCTCCTGCTATGCCATAGTCAAGCAACCAAATCCATTTCCCTTTAACTCTCAGTCATCAAAAGTGTGGTGTTTCGGTTTCACGAAGAGCTAGTTTTGATTTCATGTAAAGTATTTACGCCTTTAGGGGGTGCTATCTTGTGTATATATGCGGGGCATTGTATATAATAAAACAGTTCCTTCTTGGTTACCAGCTGCTGCGTACTTCTTGTCGGCCGGCGCTTCAGCGCCGTGCCCTGTGTTCTTCGTGCGGCGCGTCCGCCACACGATACTACAAAAAGATGGTGGAAAAAAAAATCTACAGTACACTCACAGAATCAATAGTGCTCAAGGAATGGTTCAGCGGTGGTAACTGGGACTTCAATGTGGTGTTCGCCGATCCTTTTATTTACAGGGTGCGCACATTTGCAAAATAGAGTTGTGTTTCACCACTTTTATGTAGGAGTGGCGAGAAAAGGTGGAAGCACTGACTAAGTAAAGTCACTGCTCTTGTTAATTACAGTGTGACCACAGTTTAACGATTGTCAATTACTACACATAGCTATGCAAAGAAATGCGCAACGACGTTTCACATGATGTCTGATGTGCCACATTGCAACAGCAATGATAAAAAGGTACTCCATCGTATAGTGGCTGCAAATTTGGTCTAGCCACTCATCGTGTAAGCAGCACATAGAAGCTGTCCATTGAAACAATGGAAAAGAGCCCCAAGAGCATTTACAGAGTACAACCATATTAGATACCAGTGCAGGAAAGTGAATGTTTCTGCATGCATAGTTGAAGCTACATATGCAAGCTGAAATGCACACTGCACTACGAAGTTATTTATGGAGTTTGTGTGTACGAGTTATTTTTTGTTTTAATTTGTGGCAAGCACCAAAGGAGGTGACAAAGGCTGTCGAAGGCACTTGCAGACTATAATACCTAAAGAATGCAGAACCCTCGTTATGCTTATGAGAACAAGGCGCCTCCTACACTTCACACGTGACCATAATGGGCTGGCAAAAAGAAAGCTAGATTTTAGAAATTTGCAGTGGTGCAACGATTTTCGTTTCATATACGAATGATACTCACAATTACATAAAGCAACATGCGAGAATTTGCGGTCAGGATGGATATGCATTTTGATAGGACACGCTTTTTACGATGAATCAAATAGGTACTCCATTGCACACCAATGACACCCAATTCTATGGCTCAGATTAAAAACTAAACCTCGGTTTAAAAAACTATAGCTTACATTCAACAGGGCTAAGCTGCTAAATATCGCTGTGTACCTTACTACCTATTCAGCAGAAGAAATTTTTTAAGAGGCAAAGCTTGCTATTAGGCATTTTTTAGTAGATCATTTACAATCTGCTCCAGTCAGACCTGTGTACACGAGTGATTTACACACAAATGCATTAAAAGGACTATAGTGCACATGTGCAGAATTATTGTGCGAGCAGCAGAACGTAAAACGTATATTTCGCTATGTTTATATAATCAACTGAACAGAGCATGAAGGTGCATCCACTCTGTTTCGCCGTCGTTTTGCAGGTAAAGCTGACTGTCACAGCAAAACGCACTCGTCATAAACGCGAAATCTATGCAGTTCCCCGCCTCTCTCAGGATGCTACATCTGCGCAGGCCAAGCGTAAGGTATGCTCAGTGAAAATAATCTAGTATCAAGAAAATTTTTTTACAACTGCAATGAGGATGGGCTCTCTGCACAAATACTAGCTTACTTATATTGACCAAAGCCAATTCATAATCGCTCGCAGTCAGACAGAACTCTCAATTCATTTTGTCTTCTTTTCTGCACAAGTTGGAAAGTGCAATTATGCCATACTAAATGCAATTTGAAAGACCATTATAGCAACAAAATAAAAAATCTCAGCATATCCATAGAGTGAATGATGATCAGTGGCGCGAAGCGTCCGTCAGCGCACCGGTGCTTCCGTCCGCCCGTTGGTTCTTGCTTCCGCCCGTCTGCGCGACCATATGTACACCCATCCATGCGTTCGCCCGTCTGTCTATGTGCCCGTTCGCGAGTCCATCCACCTGTCTGTCCGTACGTTCTTATCTCCATCCGTCCGTCCGTCCATCTTCTAGTCTGTCTGTCCATCCGCGCGTTCATCTAGTGAACACTCCAAGTACCTTTACCTCTCAACTCGCATCCCCTGCGGCACATACCCGCTCTAGAGTGGGTATGTGCCACCGGTGGCTATGTACTACTACATACAAGTGATGGACAGACCCACGCCTTAATGAGTTTCACCTCTAAAGTCTGCTTTTTACTTTTCAGTAGCTCCTTGCCAGATCAGACAAAGCTCATCTTACTTCCTGAAAAGCATGAATACACACATACAACACTGAGTCCACGTTGGCACTTTTTTGATAAACACTGCAGCAGCAGATCGATTACATTGAGTCAACTGGTGAATATATTAAAAGCTTACAGTCCTTGATGTCTGAAACAACGGCCTTTCGGGGCTGGCAACAGGAGTTGAGGTGGCAGGCACGACGTCTGGCATGGCACAGGCTTCTGCATTTCTCAATAGCCAGTGCGACACATTAGCATCTCTGTCATGCTCGGCATCGCTGACAGGAGGCGTCGCGCGTCGTTCTTCCAGTAGTGGTGTGCTGCTCCGTGACCCTGTAGCCGACATTCCGCTGCCATGCTTGAACGACCCTGTTGGAGAGTTGACAGAATATAGAGGACCCCTAGGTAATAGAACATGGATTAAAAGCATGATAAAATATTATTTTTTAAAAATGCCCGATCATTTAGATACTGCTGCAGCACCGATACTTATTCCACCGAGCCAACGTACATGAAAGGATGCTAGAAATTTCGTTTTTTTCCAAGAAATTCTCAAATGACTAAAATGAAATGATAATAGCTAAGACAGTAGTTTACACGTGTGCCTGTAAAGACGATTTCAGAAGTTTCAGTGAGATGTAATGTAATTGACAACCATAACACCTTTTCCTTGTTTGCTGTTACCTTTTTGGTAGCCAAGATGTTAAACTGGACAGGTCGCGGCTTCTGGCGGGGCCTAATTGAACCAAGCACATCTGCCATCTCGAAGGCCATGCCACAAAATTGTTCAATGGCTGTTGTTGCCGCCGTGAACCCCTCTACTTTCACTCTGCTGCTACTATTGTCGGCAGCCACGAAGTAAAGCCGGGCTATGTTGTGCCGAGAAACAATGACGTGAATGTGTACAGTTTTAGGCGAGTAATTTGAAGTGCGCTAATGCGATGCGGACAGCTAAAACATGGCTAAATAAGCACTTCCTTGGAAAAAAAGAAAGCAGCACTACGAGTTTCCTGGAATGCTATTTGGGCAATCAACACCGACCTAATATTTGCCTTTAGTCTCCCTTAAATGTGTGGGCTCAATGAAGGAGTGGCGATAAAGAAGCTGCCATAAGTAGCAGCCTTCAGTGATCCTAGTGGAACTGGCTATACACAAAACATTCTTCCAGAACTGAATACTGAAAGAAAGCATGAACATTTCAGTAGAACAGACTATTTGTTGAGTTGGTTAGGATTAGTATGTGCAAGTCAGTACAAGCAACACTAGCATCGAGGAAGGCACATCGATACTGGCACTGTTTTTAAATGAAATAGGGCTAACTGTGCTTGCTCAACTTTTTTTTTGTACATATGCACCAGGTGTCGAGTTTAATTTTTGCTTTAGTGTGTGAAGGTAAGTTGACACTTTCTAAGCCGAGTCTTTGCTTTGTAACAAACTGCAGTTATCCTCACCCCACCTCTTTCAAAATGTGCATTTTTATGAAAATCTGGAAATCCGTATTTCGAAACACCCGGACAATACAATGTGGAGAACATTAGGTTCATCAACTACACATTCTTCAGTCTTAATTATATTGCTGCATAGACAAATTTGACACTTGTAAAAGGTAATGAAATAATACTACTTAACATTTTTTTAACATTTGTTTTGAAAAGGTTACAATAAATATTTGAAGCAAAACTCACCGTAAGACACTTTTTCAGCTTATTGCATGCAGGTAGAATGTCATAGACGGTGCCAATCATTACTTCAAACTTTTGAGCAAACTGTGAACGACAAGCTGGTTATTTAATATTCAAGACAACTTCCATGCTACTGAAAGGACTTCACCCTGAGCGACTGGTTGTACTAATAAAAAAAAAAAAACTATTCCCCGACTGCAATATACAGAAAAGAAAACGATGTTAAACTTATCAATGAAGTGGTATCAGCTATGCTGAAGCAACTTACTTCTCCTCAATAGGTTGTCCGATGGTGTTGCTGTACCTGAAGCACGACATTCGTACCTTGGATCATCCTCTGTATATGCTGCTTCAGTACTAAAGGCAACAAAGAGAAAAAAGAGAACATGCCAGGTCAAAAAATATGTAAATGAACTCCTGCAATAAAGGCCTTAGAAAAAAAAAAGTTCAAAAAGCTAAAGAAGTTTTACGGTCCAAAGTTCTAAGCCACAGCTTGTGAAAATATGTTCAGCTTGTAGCTGTCAGTTTTGTACTAGATTCAAAAAGCTCCAAGGATCGCAGCTTCCAATAAATGGCTACACCGATCTCAACTCTACCAGCCGCGTTAATTAGCAGCATAAATATAAATTCAACACATGACATCGTGTGCCGATGCGACCTCCACTACCTTATTCGCACAACTTACTTGCAACAAACACAGACTTAAAAACGAATGCACACAAAAAAAATTCACCACGTAAAGAACCACATATTGTACTCGGAAAGCAACGTCTCAATTCTACGATACATTTTGAACATCACTCATCGAATACTCTTGAGAGCCACTGGGCAATGCAATGAGCAGCAGCAGCAGCTGAATGAAATGTGAAAAAGGAACTACCGCAGCAACTAAAAGCTTTGTATATCTGCAGTTGATTTGCGATGATCACTGATCTTACATTTGGTCCACATTTTAGTTATAAACCTTACATCACCTCATATCATGCATTTTGACATCACGCAGTTAAGAGTGGTGAACACCTCTGCGTTTTCAAAGATCTCTTTTCCCTTGCTTTTTGAACAAACTGATTTGAAAGAAACCGAAGATTTCGCTGTGCTCTGGTAACACAATTTCGATATACATATACTGATAAGGTGACTCGAAGTTGAGAAATCGATTGTGAATGCAGAGGTGCTTGCCTGGAAAAGGTAAAGCCATTCGCAGCCCTCGAGCAATCCTCGTAAGGTCGTGCATCAAGAGCAAGATGCCGAGACGAGCGGCGCTGAAAAAATCCTCGAATGGCATGGCACGCCAGGTCCCCTAGGCAGAAGATAAATTACAATACACTCTCAGCAAACAATACTCTCCCAAATAAAATTGCTGCTTAAAGAGGTGGTGCCACCTATTATATCGCACATCAAGCGTGACGCACGGAGAACACGAGGCCCGGCGCCCGAAGCGCAAGCCAAAAAGGAAGCTACAGGCCGAGACCCGGGAGGAAAGCTCTTTCCGCACACAAGCATGGCCAATATTATATACATTTGTAAACGACCTCTGTGGGGCCAGAGACCCAGTTCCGAAACTGGAAACGTAACGCCAACACCACACCACCACATTTGTGGCTTGCATGCTCTTTGCCAAGCGTTTCTTAAAGCTTCCGGAATCACGATACACACATCAAGATTCATTTATTCTCACTAAAAAAATTAATATAGCCTTTTTATGGAAACAATTTTTCGTTCGGTTTCTAGGCACCGAATTGGGCTGTGACATAACAGTGTAGCTTGGCCACGTAACAACACAAAGCTGTGACATACGTCGTGCCGATTATCAACTGCTCTCGCTGGCTTTCTCGTGCATGCATGCCGCACAATACCAACAAATAAATGCGTAGCAGCCACAATGCTTTGCGAGGTCTCTATAGGTCACTCGCCTTGCTACAATAAGCATGTGCACGGGAAGGTGTTAGGGGGCAGTCACTCCTACAGCCACCTATGAAAGTGGTTGTGCAAACACATACCCACATATTGACATAATAGAGAGGGAGCGCTGAAACTTATAGAGGGGACGTGAAGTCCGACCGACACATTGACATAATAGGGAGGGGATGCACTGCGATGAACCTCTGTTTCCTTGAAGGCAAAACCTTGGCTCGCCTACACTCACTACGGATCTGGTGTAACGTCACTACAACTTTCGTTGCCTTTCTTACAGAGCTAGGACAGTTCTTGTTGCGCTTGCGATGTGCTTCACGTGGAAGAATGAGCATTTAGGTACCCTTTGGAGGCGAATTAAAATGTATTCAAAACATGTGTTGAGTCAGATCCTTTGTGTGGAGTGTCCTCGCATACAGAGAAAACCCACAAGGGGATTGCTTTAGCCTCAAAATTTCATGGCACCATTCCTTTAGGTAGGAGAAATGCCTCTAATATGAGAAGTTTTTCACTTGAATTCTGGCCCTTGTTTCACTAAATGAAACTCCTGTTAAAAAAAAACATTTAACTGGTACCAAGTTTCGTGCAGTGTGTCAGCACTGCGCATCCCTAAATAGCACGCAGTTGTCTTTTTTTCAAACTATAGCCATTGCGACTCTTCCACCATTATGAACAATAGTGACATACAATTAAGAATACTAAGTGAAGTAATTGAACACAAAATACACTCACAACACAAGTATTTTCAAACCTTTTCACTAATGTGTATCGAGTGATTGATGAAACGGATGACGACTAGACCAATCCGTAAAGTACGTCATGAAGCACTGCGCGAGCCAAGAAATGCACGCAACAATTGGAATGGCAAAACTATTGTCACTTATAACTCGTAATTCAATGTACCTATTTGTTTTATTGAGGCTTGATCGCACAAAACTGGCGTTACTGAGCCCAGTCACAGGCTTAACCCCAGTTGAATTTATTGCAGCGTTTACATAATAAAACTGCAATGAACGTAAGGCACACCATAGCGAAGGACTCCATTTAAGCAGATTGTTTTGAAGCATTCCCCGCTAAGCAAAGTGCACAATCTTTATTCCACTCAATCTGTAGTGCGACAACTGCAGCCAGTAATTTGATCTCGTGAGCACGAGAGTAATGTGCCGAGCAGGAGCATGAGCATAATGAGCATGAGCATAGCCACGTAGCCAGCTCGAACGAGACCGACTTAATTTGACATGTTAGTAGACACACTGGGCTCAAAGGTGTTAGTGTACACACAGATAAGTAGAGCATAATAGAATGCACGCACCCTGCAAGAAAGATGGCCAACAAGATGGTCAGAGGCCCAAAGCCGAGGCTGCAACTCTCCCGAATGCTGGCGATTGCGTTGGTGGGCACAATGAAGAGCAGAAACAAACGTGATGGCATTGGGAAATGGAGGAAAGCTGCGAGGAACATGGCTACCAGGAGGTAACAACAGTGCAGTACGCAGCAGTAGATTGCACTGAGTTGGCCACCTGGAGAGAAGTAAAGAAGCAATCTTGTAAGCAAAGTTTCAATTGACTTGACTTGGGCAAGCGAGCTTAACTCGAACATAACTAGAAGCATTGTAAATAGGCGAGGACGGCTACAGGTAGTCTTACATTGCTGTCCTCGTTTCTTCACACTTCTGAAATGCATATTCAAAAGTTCGAATGTTACTACTCCGTTGTTTGCCTTGAAGTTTGATTTCGTGGCAATGCAGATTTCATGGCAATGCAGATTTTGTGGCATAGCAACTGCAGTTTGGAAAAAAAAAAAAAAAAAACCTTTCTGGGCGCGGGTCACATGCAGTGAACTAAGTTTCATCGTTCGTTTCGAATACCGTAATATGTGATCAATAACTTGAAGCGCTGAAATATCCACAAGCTCAGCCAACAGTAAAGAACACAAAACAACAAGAAGAAAAAAAACAAGTGCCAACCTGTGCTGTGCAGTAGCTGTACCAGCCAACCAAACTTGCTGTCGATGTCTTTTCGCATTGTGTCGATCACTTCCTGTACGTAACCGATGCTGGAATTTATCTTGCCAAGGTTGTTCAGAGTCTCCTCAAAACGCACAGCAGCAGTTTCCTGGCGACCAAGAACCTCTAGAGTTGCTTGCTCTGAAAAGTACCAAGTATACGCCTTGGCAACACTGGTGGTACAGTACTAGAGCAATAGCAGTTTAATGCACCAGCACGAAGGGAGTAACAATAATATTGATATAGCAGTAATAGCAACAACTTTCAAGGTTTCATGTGCCGAAACCAAAATATGAATACGAGGTCTTCCGTAAAGGAATAGAATTTTGAGATGCATTTTAATTGCCTAGAGTTCCTTAAAAGTGCCCCACAATCTAAGCACATTGTTGTTCTTGAAATAATATGTAGGGTTTTACATGCTGAAGGCACGATATGAACCAGAGGCATGCTGTAGTAGAGGGATCTGGAAACTGACCATATGGTGCTCTTTAATGTCCACTAACATTACGTAGTTCACAAGCCGCTAGCATTTCACCTTCGTCAAAATGCGACCGCTGTCGCAGAGAGCGCACCTGTTGCGACTCTTGGGCTAGCCACTGTGCACCGTCACCACTGTGGTGTATGGGCGTTTGTTGCCTATTGTCTCTGTCGTAATGAGACTGCAGTGTCCCGAAATCAAAACCACACTCTCTTGCACAAACACCTTATGTGCCTTATGGCTGGTGCGAACAGCACTGTACATTCATTCAGCGGATAAAATAAACATCACACATCTTTTTCTGAGAAACAGATTCATGCAGAAGGAAACGGTACATTTATTAAATTACAAAAATGAAGGGTTATAAAGTTTAAAATGAAAGCTACCATGAATAGCAGAAGTTGGTACATTCATAGCAGAAGTTGACAGCATGAATAAAACAAACGCGTCTCCTATTGCTGCATAGGCTAAACGGAAGACAAGCTTAAGACAAGGCTACAAGCTGCTTCGAATGAGCAGCTTTTAACAAATCAAGAAAGCCAGCAGCACAAATATAAGTAACAACAGATCAGCACTGCAAGTATGAGGTAAATATGACGCTCCTCATCAAGTGCTCCTTTCAAAAGAACAAAAAGATTTCAAAGTTTTGAAACAGCTCAGAGCAGAACAGTGGTTAAGAGGCACTAGAACGGTAGGCGCGAGAACGCCCGACAGCAGAATAGTTGACATAGCTCAAGTACTTTTCGTATTCCGTACGATTGCCACAGCTAAGAATGTAAGAAGCACTCAAATGTGCAAAGCTGTATTTGCAAACTCGTCTTACTAATATGAAAATGAAGAAGTATGCCTCCCATCGGAACACATTCCAGTGACAGCAATGCTCATCGATGTCTGTTTCATGGGATGTTTGTACTACGACAGCAAGTAACACCAGACAAAGACTTCAGTCGATGCAAATTAGTCCAGCGTGGTGAAATATACTAGAGGAAGTGATACCAAATTTAAAAAGTAACGCACCTAGCCTTTCCTGCAAGAACTTGGCATAGTCTTGGACAGCCTTCAGGTCTTTTAGCAGCTCTCGATGGTTCACCTGCCGCTGTTGCTCGTTGGACAGCATCATGGTGCTAGCAGCGTCTGTTTAAAAACGAACATCAAGTCCAAGAAATGAGATCTGAATCAGCCTGCTTTCCAACAACATAAAATTGAAAAACATTACAAGTGGAATTCCATCACAGTTAATCAAGAACAAAATAAAATTTGCAGCATCTGATCTACGTGTAGTAGTTGAAATATTAACATGATGCCAGTTAAGGTTGATCATACATAACAAGATATGAAATCTGAAAAGCGTATTTTTCTATGAACTGAAGCGACATAATTTTCTTAATCGAAAACAAACAAAAAAACTTGCTTCATATTGTTACGGAAAAGAAGAGACACCGTATTGACGAGGCTGGGAATTAGATGTATTTAAAACCAGCGGTAATGGCGTGAACGATTCACCAGCGATCGAGCGCAGACAACCCTTCGTATTCCTCGCCAGGCGCACACGCGCGTCGCCCCCTAGTATACTAATATACATGCATGTAGCAATATTGACCACATCTTTTACATATGTAGACACAGATGTGCGTGACAGCACAAATGCCGAGCACTTTCATCCAATATAAATCCCTATCGACTGCCTCCATATGAGGTTCAGCCATGCTACCCAATTGAGAAGTGCACACGGATTCTCTGCAATTTCACAAAATGGCAGCACTTGTTGCAATTTTCAATTAGAGAGATTGGCAACATGAATGTAACCAGTTCTACTCTTTCAAGCTTTTAAGACTTGTAAATGTTTTATAAAAGAACTTATGCCTATAGATTTAAGAACAGTTGCCACGAAAAGACTTAAAAAAAAGTGCTTGTTTTTGGTTACATTTATGTATAGCTGGACACGCGTATTATTACTATAACTATCATTATTAGCTTTTTTGTGTGTGAGAGAGAAGAGGGGAGGATTAACAAAAAACAACTCCGGTAGGCGAATTACTTGGGAAGGAGAAAGGGGGAGCAAAACAATGAGAGAGGAAAAAAAGAATCTGTAACGACACTACAAAGTCGTGGCACTAAGCTTCTGTTTTAAGTAGCATATGTTTCAAGACATCTTGGATGCATAATCAAGTTATAGTGGGAAATTATCCTGCGACATCACATTACTAGGGTGGGGCAAACTTGTGCTTAGGAGGTTTAAGACAGGATGGCCCAATCACTGATGATTATGTCAATGTGAAATAGTTGGATTTAGTACTGGGAGTTGCGCACTGCGTTCCAGCAATGGAAGCAGGTGCTTACCATTTGATATAGAGTTGGCAAGGCTTACAATCAGAACACTACTGCAAGTTGGCTCTCACAACAGCATCGCTACTAGCTATGACTGCTGGATACACCATAACCGATTCCACAAAACACTGTTTCAATGCAGCACAACACGGGCCTTCGGGAAAGTCTTCAAAAAGAATAAAACAAGAAATTCGCTATTCTTGGGCAGTGCAAATGAAATGTAACACTATCTTGAATGTTTTTCCACTCTGGAGATCAACTAGAAATGAGCAAAAAAGTTTCATCTCAATACTCTGGCATGTACAACCTACCTATTTTTCAACCCAAACATGTGAGCATCAACACCCTTGTTTTTTTTTTTTTTTTTTTTTTCTTAAGGCAAAGCTCCTAGGCCGTCGGTCTGTTCATTCTTTGTATATCTCCTGTGGTACGTGACCTCCTAGTTGTACGATATGAGCTCCAGTGTGATAGGAGCAGGCTGATGGATGGACGGACAGACAGACCTACTGATCATCATTCACTTCGTGAATATGCTGCGAATTTTTCTTTTGAACACTGCCAACATGCTGCGAAGAATTGTTCAAGTGGTAATGGCTGAGATGTGCGAGATGTGCTACACACCCCTTGATTAGACTGCATATGTGTTTAATCAGCATGTTCTTTTTTCCATGGCTTATACAGCACTTTGATGATGCAAAAGATATCTCAAGAAAGCAAGGACAAAAAAAAAATCACAGGCGGGGTTGAATCCGTTTCGCATTACAACCTCACGGAGAAAGCTGCATCGTACTGCTCGCTGTGTGCGTGTATATTCTTGCTCATTTTCGACGCAGTGCTCAGTCACAAGATAATGATTGACTGGACAGCCGAAAAAAAAAATCTGTAGGGTGTAATACAACCTTAAAGGCAAGGTACTACAGCTTCACGCAAACATGACGCACAACTGACTCACCAAGCTTCTTGCGAATAACGTTTGTCATCTGAGCGAGCTCCCTCTGTCCGGCAGCAATGAGAGCTTTCTCAAGCATCAGCTCCTTCAGGTTTGCGGCCACAAAGTTCTGCACACTCTGCTGGGAGCTCTTCAGCTTCTCCTGCTGCTGCATCAGGGCTTTCTGGCCAGAGGACATGGTCTCCAATGTCTGACTCGTCAATTCACTCACTTTCTGCTGCTCTTGCTCCAGCTGAGACATTGCCTTCACCTTTTGAAGAAGGAAGAACAAAATTATGATTCTATGCCTTTTTGTCACTACAACTAAATACTACGGGAGATTGAATAGTGAAATTGCCGCAATTATCACACAATTGTCGGAGCTTTACAGTGAAAAACCGTGATATGACGAGGAATGCCGTAGTTGAGGACTCCGGAGATTGTGACCACCCAGGGTTGTTGAATGCACATCTAAACCTAAGAACATGGGCATCTAGCATTTCCCTTACATCCGAATGCAAAAACGTTCACCAAGATCCAAACACGTCATCTTGGGGTCAGCAGTATAGTGCTGTAAGCACTAGACCACTACCGCAGGTTGCCCCCAATTAAACTGAATATAATGGGAAAATAACATTTCCACAAATCAAATACTAAAGATGTTCCACCCCACACGTAAAGATAAATATAAAAATTGTGTTGGCACTGTATGCGGGAAAGCCTGTTCACATTTCATGCACATGAATGTCTGATCAAGACAAGGAATGCGCTAAGGTGATAGATTTGAAGTGCCATGCAATATGTACTGATATGCCATAGATCTTAATGTTATCTGAAGTGACGAGATGGACCTATATTACCAGTGTGTCGGCTGCGTTTGCAAACAAGCAACAAGAAAACACATCCTACAAACGCTACACATCTTACAAACGGAAGATGAAAGCCCAAGGTAGCGGTATATATCACTGTAATCTTAGCAAGTAAATTTGGAAGCATGGCTGACTACTTGCAACAATGTCATTTGCAATGATACGCCTTGCTGTAATGACAATGTAAGATCATTATATTAAAGTGGCAAGAGGGTAGTGTGGGTATTTTCTGTAAAGCTATACAAGTCATTTGGCACTACACAGCTGTGTCCCAGATTTGCACTAGCCATGTGCAAGATTCTTCACAAACGTTTCCGATTGCTGCCCAAGTTGTCAAAACGGGAGCATCAGTCTAATGAAACTGAACGATCCACACCTGCTGATCGGTGGTCCAAACCAACTTGTTAACCGTCATTTCAGTCTTGGCATAAAACTGCTGCTGCCGGGTGCTGTAGCACACAGCTCTGGCTCGGTTGCTGATCAGGTGGTAGGTGTTCCAAGTGTGTTGGTCCATTCCTTGAGTGCATTGCCGTAAAGTCTGGAAAAAAGAAAAAAAACCTAATGCTTGGCTCTGCTCAAATTTATACATCAAGAAAGGAACAATGCGACTGTGTTATCTACTGTTATGAGGAAATATACCAGGGAATCAAAAACTCAAAATGTGACACTGGCGTCCGGAGCTGAATAACAAAAAATTACTACGTAAATGCTGGCCACTTTCCGCAACTCTGCCATCTAAATTTTCAGACGCTGGAAATTTCACCTCTGCATAGGCATGTGCAAGGTTTCGCATCAGATGAGGCAAAGTTTCATGACACCACAGGCTATGCCTTTTCTACATATAGCACAGAGCTAAGCATGTGCTCTCCCGCCCACTTCCTCAACTATATTGAAAGCCTAAAAAATTGGCAGAATGAAAAAGGAAAAAAATAAAAAGTGTACAACTTTATGTCACTTGTACCAAAGGAAGTAGAAGTGGAAAGTAAAAAGTACACACTACCAAGCAAAAAGGCAGCAAATGAGCATAGGGTAGTATGAATTTTTTTAATTATGTTTATGTGGCTTGATAGCACTCGGACTACTATTGCCCTTACACAACCAAAAATAATTATATCAGTTCACAATCAAGGAAAAAAAAAGTGCTAATCTTCTCATAAACTTGTTTGCAAAGAGAACAAGTTATAAAAAGACCGATCCACTAGAAAATAGAAATAAATCAGCAAAATCCGTCAGCCATTTTGTAACTTTTCAACTGGCCCATAAAAAGATACCACGCATCTTAATAGACGTGCTATGAAACCATAGGCATGTGCATGAGACGGGTAGGGGAACCTAAGTGTTTGGTACACCCCTTTTCCTATTCATATAAGAGGAATAGGCAAAGGGGTGCACCTACCTTTTAGGCGGGCACAAAATCTACCTCTTAAGTTCAATTAATGGGGAGGGGAAGAGCAGCACTGCAATGAAGTTTTACCCCCCACCCCCCTGACTGCGCACGCCTATGCATGAAACTGTTTCCTAGACAATGTCTGAAAACGTAAAAAAAAGAAAAAAATCAATTCACTAAAAAGCTGCAGCAACTTAGGGGTGTCATTGCAGGTTGCAAGATGACGAAACTGTAGACAGCCAGTTCTTTTTGTCTTTCTCACTTTCACACAAGCAAGCAATCATTCACACAAGCCCACACACACATACCATCTAGCAGCTTCCATCTAAAAATCCAAATGTACCGCAGGATGGATTCTTACCATTTCATCTGTGCAAGCAAACGTAGGCGTCCTTCAACAGCTGACTGACAATTTAGTAGTCTCACACTGAGCTTTCCAAGGTCTTCTTCATTGAGCTGTGAGCAGGATGACTGTCAAACCGAGTAGAACCTGCAAAACAAAGTTAAAAGATTCTAAACACATAACTTTCTCTACAAATGAGTTCCTATCTTGCCAAATGCAAATATAAGTATGTTGTAAGTCAGTGTTGATATAATAGTTTCTTGTGCTTAATATTCCTACTTAGACATAAAATATGTAAACTATAGTATGCTAAACAGTTCTCGTTTAATGGCATATACAAATTAAGCAGACATAGACACTAGATGGACGACAAGACGAATGAGCTACAAGACCACGCACGTAACGCGGAAGCAACGCTGGTCAGACGCTATGGCAGTTCTGGGCACGAACTTCCACAATAGCGGTTTCACAAGAGGAACCCGAGCCCGTGAAAATCGCACATTTCTGAAAAGTAAGAACGGCGCGTCCATGCCTATGGCAAGGCCACTGGATAAACTATGTTATCTTATCTCCGTTTATGACCACGAACGTTGCGAGGACACGTGTACATGACCCAACATGTTATTTGTCCAGTCAGGCCATACGCGGCACATAAATTATGTTCGATTAAGAAAACTGTGCCCGGTATTATAATCGACGAAGCGGTAAAAGTGCAGGTTCCGGTACACAGCAAGGGCAACGTTGACGCGACTACCGCAAACTACTTCCACCGAAGTTCCGCGCGAAATCTCAGTGCCACCCACAACGAGAGGAATTTCTTACTGTTCTAATCGGGTCATTTTTGCCTGGATATGTTGAAAATGCATGCTTGGGTAAGCGACGAAAAAGTAACGCAACTATCCCAGAAGCCTCTAGAGGGAATACTTTCCGGTGCTGCTTATACAAAATGAACACAATAAGCTAGCCATAGCCCCTCACACATCAAACGATTCGCTAAAGATGCGACATTCACAAGCACGTAATGCCAAAAAGAAAAGAAACACGTGCATACGGATGCAGAGCATTACAGCAGTGCATAATACTGCTTTAACACTAACTGTATACAAAGGCACGCATCGGAGCCTAGGGACAATTTGCGAAATGCGACTCACCTTGTGGTGGCACACGTCCAGTGTAGACATTTGAAGGCCGTACTTTTTTCCTTCCTGGAGGAAATCTTCGTCAGCCGTTTTCATTTCAAACGGCACCACGGCGACTGTCCCATCCTTCGTAAAGTCCTTCGGATCCGCGACCGGGGCGGTTGGTGCCACAGGCGCATTGCTTGCGAACCAGTCAAAGAAGCAGCTGGCACGAACCAAGATGGTCAAGAAAACCACGACCGTATAACGGCGCATGGCGTAGGAACTGGTACTCCTCGGTAAGATACGACGATTAGCAAGCCCAAACGTGTCAGTGCGCAAAGCGGAGATCAGTTGTCAAGCGCTGCAACGCATGCAAATAGGAAGCGCGCTTGAATGTCGCTCTCATACCGTTTATAAGGGTCTGAAAGCATGCGATTGGTCCATGCTTCATGATGATGATATGTACTTTTAACAAAGACTAAAGGTATATTTTAATAACTGTTCAATTCTACAACTAGTGTGTTATGTTGTTAAAATCAAAATTAGAGTTCATTTTTTGTTACACGCTAGATATAAGACAGTATATTATTTAAAAAAAGTTCATTGGTTTTGGTTTCGGAACGTTCTATCAACAGCCAAAGTTTGCGGGACGCGAAATGTTCGATAGAAGCTGAATTCCCGCTGTGTCTGTGGGTGTAGTTTTGAAATAAATGTTGCATACTTCACTTGGCATTCCGACCTATACAGTCACCAGCTTAATTACAACATAAATTCGCATTTGTTTTGCATACAACGTTCTGCAAACTTATGCTGCTGATAGTACGTTACCATGAACTTGTTGCACCACTTCTTTACTTCGTTTGTGCGGTAAAGTACTTAAAAATAATAAAACCAACAAGAAAAATATACGTTGTGACGCGAACTACCTACTCGCGTCAGTTGTTTCGATGAGTGATTTGCGCTATCAATATCCATGAGCGCGTGGCGACTTTGTGGTTGTCGGCACCCAAGGGGGACCTCCGAATGCATGTTTCCTGCTCCCCCCCCCCCCCCCCCAAAAAAAAAAAGAAACTTCCCTTTTGACCTTTTTTATTTTTTTGCCTGCTCCTAGTATTCGTGCTCCTTTCCCACGATTCTCCAGTTACATTTCTTTGTTTTTAGTAGGCTCATGAACGAATACAAAGATTTACGAGCACGCGCGCCTGGCGTCCACAATTCCAACATCCTCGAACATCGCTTATCCTCCTCTATGTCCATACGCTGGGCTTACTTCCCAACGTGATTCTCTTTTGTTTTAATGGCTGGGCTTCAAGTTTCACTTGACGCTCCCTCTTCTTTTTTCTTAATTGTTTTCCCCTCCATGCTACGCAAGTCTTGTCACCATGCTATCAGTGAAAGCGCTCCTTTGTGCTAGTTGGTGCAAGCTCAACATAGGTTGCGGAGTTTTGCGCTGCATTGGCAGGGTTATGCAGCTTTTTTGAAAATAATGGGGGCCGAAGACCCCTGATACCACATTCCAAAAAAGTTTAATTCTTGTATCTTTTCTCCCGGAGGGCCAGGAACCAAAGGCAAGCCAACTTGATAACCACATCATCGTTTTATTCTTTCACCCTTTGATAAACAAGTCGTTTTCTAGACTCAAGCTAAAGGATTGGAGGAGAGGAAGGGTGCAAGATCATTGTGACACGCCCCCCCATGCAAAACCCTGCGCACGCATATGGGTGCAACAGTCTCCAACGATTCCTTCGAGAGAAACCGTAATTAAACAAGGCTTTTTTTTTTTATTGCGACAATTCAGGTTGCTGTTCACCGAGGTTGATTTTGCAAAAGTGCCAAAGATGCTGCGTCAGACAATTCGAGTCCGAACTTATGATGCCCGCTAAAAGTCTTATAATCGTGTAAACACCAGCAAAATTTCAGAGTTGATCATGTACTATATTTACATATCTGGTGAACTCCATACACACATCACAGGCTACACAGGCAGCAATCTAAAATTTCTTCAAGCGAACAAGAGCAACTCCCCAGCAGCGTGTCAAGTGTTGACCCAACAAAAGCAGCATTTCTGCAGAGTGGGGTATGTATCACTCGCATAAACTGAAATGAAAAGAGATTAAAACGTCACTTGGACATAATTCTTTCCAAACGCAATGCGTCATGTGTGAGTGACTCATCTTCACATGATGTAGGCTCAACTTTATGAAAAAGCAACAACATATGACAAACTGAAGCCAGAGTAAACACCTACTTCACTGATCTTATTCGTGAACTGTTGACCTGTAGCAAGCTACCGCTGAGCCAACCTCCCATGGGTCATTTCACATGCATTTCAAATTTTTATGCAAGATTCTGAGATGCACAAATGTCATTAGCTAGATGCATAAAGACTCATTTCAGTGAATTTCAACATTCTTGTGCTGCAATTTGTGCTAGCAGCAGAAACACACACACTGTCAATATAAAACCACCATGCAGCAAAGGCTTAGGAGCCAGAAGCTAGCCAGCAGGTTTGGTCATATGAGTGGCAGCCAGCCAGTTCGGCAATTGCTTGTTCTGCCATTACTTTGACTCATTGTTACTAAACTATCAGGCTAGAATAGCGCAACGAAAAATCGTACGAATACTGAAAGCAGCATTATATGCAACCACTAATCTCAAAAGAAGGATTTGAAAAAGTGACTGACAAAGAAAAAAAATCATTTTTTTTGCAGCTAGAAAAATTAAATGCACATCTAATTTTCTATACACATACGAACTTGAGGACAGAGTAGTCTTGAGCACTTCTGTAACAATGCCTCTCTGCTAAAGAAAGGTCGCACAACAAGCAGCACACAGTTCATTTTGACTTTGTACATATAAAAAAAAAAGCTTACTCAACAAGCTTAACAATTCACCTCATTACAGCAATGCCGTGTGCAAACCTGCCTGTAAATGGACAGTTCGTAAAACTAAGGAAGCCTAATACTGTGATGAGGGTAGAGCTGTCTATATTTGTCTAGCCGCGATTTACAAGCACGCATTGCATTGTTTTCCTCCACAAAATTTCAGTCCTGCTCCGACTTTTCTGAACTAGGGCCGTCGTCGGTTTTCTGCTTCTTCTTGGCGCGAATGTCCGCAAGCGCTTGCTCGATCGTCCGGACAGTCCTTCTTGTTTTGGCTGGGCACTGAAACAGAAGACAAACAGAGTAGGGCGAAAAATTTTAATGCACAATGACACCAACACTGGGAAGACACCTGTGCACAACTAATTTCTTTTTGCCAAGACTTTCTTGATGCTAAAGCAGTTGAATACTTAACAACCTTGCACTACAATGCATCGCCATCATAGCACACGTGATCAAGCAAGAAAAAGTTGTGGGGCCACAGCATTCATATGTGAGACAGACTACTAGCAAAGTTGCCTCTGCGTTTCCGTTGTAGGTCTGCTCGTTTCTCTGAGTGAGCAACTACAGACAGCGAAATTCTTGCTCTAACCCCATCACCTTTATATGAATCCACACTTTCTACAATTTTCCGCAAGCATTTTACAATTTTGCAGTGTGCTCGAATAGGTGCTGTCGACACCTCTTTACTATGTCAATTTTTTTTCTCTGGCATGCCGGCTCTCACCTTCTCTGGTTCTTTGCTGTGGTCTACTTGACATTGAAGCAGAGTCAAGACACTTGTACGAGACAAGCACCATAAGCACACTCTGTGAGCTGCGCAGTCTCCATTTATGTTTCACCCGAAGGCGAGCTAGCTAAAATGATCAGCCTCCCTCTCCCTCCCAACCCCCGGAATCGCATCGGCTAGAAGTTGACAACTTTGCTGCAAAAGCAATGCTGTATTACGAATTTACCCTAATACTAGGCTCAACATTCCATATCCACAATACGATCAAGGCGTGCCACAGAGGACTACCGATAAAATTTGACCACCAGGCGTTCTTCAAACATACCTAAATCCAAGTACACAGGTGTGCTTGTATTTTTCGCTCATAAAAATGCAGCAACTATGGCACAGAAACCTACCCACACTTATACAATTAGCTATCCCATGCCTTGGCTGCTAAGCTGCCCCATGGTATATTATGAACAGGCAGATAATAACACCAACAATAGAGTTTTTTCACATTGTTGTTTATAAATGAAAGCAATGAAGATTTTGGGAAAGCTGTAAAACAGACCTTATGCTTGCAGGTTGAGTTTTGTGATGCTGTACAGCATTGATTGATTTGTAGGGTTTAACGTCCCAAAACCACCATATGATTATGAGAGACGCCGTAGTGGAGGGCTCTGGAAATTTTGACCACCTGGGGTTCTTTAACGTGCACCCAAATCTGAGCACACGGGCCTTGACATTTCCACCTCCATCGGAAATGCAGCCACCGCAGCCGGGATTTGAACCCGCGACCTGCGGGTCAGCAGCCGAGTACCTTAGCCACTAGACCACCGCGGCGGGGCGATGCTGTACAGCACTAGAGTTGGAAATCTGTTTCCAGTGCACTGTACTGCTGAAAGCAAGCGTTTTGAATGCTCTAAGAAAGACGGGGTTCTTAAACTTGACTTCTGTGTATTTCAAGTAATGTTGCATGGATTTTGATATATTCCTTTGCCAACTAAGCGCAAAGTGACAAGCCCTCAGTCAGCCAATGTATCAAAGTTCAGTACCAAAGCCAAACTGTTTGTTTGGTGTGGTGATCTTGGCCGCATCCTTGCCGCTTTCTCGGCCCAGCAGCTTTTCGTACTTCTCGTGATAGTCACTCTGTGGCACACTTTCCTGGCTTGACTGCTTGGCCTGTTCTGCGAGAGCTGCAGCAGCGAGTTCCTGCACGAAAATGCACCGCACTACGTCAAATTGAGCGCCAACTCACTTGGCATGGCATCTCAGCGTGGTATTAAAGCACAACAGAAATATACCAAGAAACAGTGCATGCAGCTGCGCAGTACCTGGCCGCTATCACACCTGGGGTGAGAGACTGAGTTTTTATCTTTAGATGCATTTTCTGTAACATGGCTACAGTCAGGGTGCAGATCTGACTGCAAATATGTTGATTCCCAATCACCAACTAGTTTAAGGATCTCCCTTATCAAGGCGCAGGTCTAGGGTTACACCAGGGGGAATGCGGGTTAAATAATGACCAATACTACTCTAGTTAAACACACTCACAAGGTAATGTACATCTAACAGAAAACCCACCAAGAGAATTTTTAACGATTCCTTCCACAGAATACTTAGCTCCAACTTTTCATTGTTATTGAATAAATATATTTTAGAAGGCCTCATTATTGGGCTTTCTTTTAGTCCAGTTTCAAGGATTACTAGACTTAAGGCCATAAAAATGAACAATGTTCACACATGTTTCAAAGCGATCGAGATTCCAAAGCTTCCAATTTTGAGCGAATGTCTATGTACGCAACTTGTACAATATTCTCAAAAAGTGCTCACATATCACCCGCCCTTGCTTTTTCCCACACACTGACAGCAAAGGTGCGATAGTGAACATGTAATTGATATGTGGGGTTTAACGTCCTAAAACCACCATATGATTATGAGAGACGCCGTAGTGGAGGGCTCTGGAAATTTTGACCACCTGGGGTTCTTTAACGTGCACCCAAATTTGAGCACACAGGCCTACAACATTTCCGCCTCCATCGGAAATGGAGCCGCCGCAGCCGGATTCGAACCCGCGACCTGCGGGTCAGCAGCCGAGTACCTTAGCCACTAGACCACCGCGGCGGGGCTGTATTGAACATGTAAGCGTAGTCAACAATAAGACAATGTTATTACTTTATATTTGGTATACACAAATTGCATCGACATCATCATGGACACCATATTAAGACCCCCAGCTGGCTGAGACAACGCGCGAGCACAAATGGCGACATCAGATCAGTGCCGGTGCTCCCAGCATTCTTTTGTGTTGTTCCCACTTGGCGCGGCTCGCAAAAAGAATGCAGGAACCATACGACTCCGCGTTCTCCTCTGTACTGCCACTCTCTAACGATAAGAGAAAAAAGCCATAGTCATCGTCATCATAGGACTCCCAGCGCACCGAACTTGTCTGTGATATCACGTGAAAGCTATGTCGAAACAAGAGCTCCATTTCCATAGCGACAAGCCAGGCCAGCCTTGCTATCTTAGCACAGATATCATATAGCCTTTGCAATTTGTATTTTTGTTGCTGGAGTAGCTCTTGTTAAAATCACCTAAGTATGGTTTGTACTTGTTCACTTCTTAAGCAGGGTTTTTGGGCAATTACTGGTAAGTACGAATGAATGCAGCAATGATATTCCTAAAGAAAGAAAACTGTAAATCTGTTACCCTTTCCCGGGCAGCTGCTTTGGCTTTCTCAGGATCCCACTCTTCTCCTTTCCGGTAGGCAGCCAGTTCATCGTCCGATGGTGCAAACTCCTTTAAAATACGAATAAGCACAGAATGAACCAGTAAGGAATCAGATCTAAAGCACTGTAAACCGCTAATATAAATGTTGTTAGTACCTTCTTGAAGATCATGACGTAGCGATCGACTTCTTCCTCTCCAAAGGAAAAAGCGGTGAGGCCAGCAATGTCTGCGACATCGTGACTGAAAATAAAGTAATAAAAAGGCACTTTTTTGCGATAATTTCATTCACAAATAAACATCACAGCAATAAGAACACACGTTTTGTTCATGACCGAAAAGAAAAGCACAAAATCAAAAAATAATAATTTTGAACTAATTTATAAACATAGTCCACATTAGCCAGAACATACAATTCTGAACGTCAAACCACTGCATACTTACATTATTGTACGGTGAACTTTTGCCATCGGCGCGAACTTGTACTTTTGCTTCTCAGGATCTTGGATGAACTTGTTGATTTTATCCTCAACCTGAAGAATATCATTACGAAGGAATTGATAACGACAGCCAGATTATAACGCAATATCAAGTTCTCGAATATTGAGTTTGTGCAATAGGAACGGTAAGAGCGAATTCAGAAGCTGATAACAGGGTATAAATTTCCCGAATTCGAAGCTCAACACCTCGCGTAGAAAGACGTAACAGTGCACCAAACAAGCCACGAACATCTACGAGAGATAATCGCAGCTTATGATTGAAGCTAGCGCCTTCGTTTCGGCGTAGCCGTCAGAAGAGGTGAAGGTGACACAAAGGAAGTTCGCATAACTCATGAGACCTACCTGATCTCTGAACTTTCTTAGCTTCTCCTTCTCCTCCGCTTCGCGCTTCTGGTGTTCATCACGTTGCTCTGTGGGACAAAGACGGCGCGTCTGTGAAGAAGCGTAACCAGAGGGGCGCTGACAGCTTCACACTCACTGAGCGGCAACTTACTTTGTAGTAATTTCTTCTGTTTGTCCCCAACAGTTGGTGGTTTGTCCATAGAATTCAAAATCGAACCTAGAAGATCCGCCATGATTATTTCTCTTTCGCACCGCAGCGCCGTCTAAAGTCGCACGAGGGTAAGCGCAAAGAAAACTAAATCACTCTGCGACCTGTTCACTAGCAAAACAAACTGCGGACTGAACTATCCGAACACGTGAGTTTTTTTGTTTATTAATTAGTCACTATACTACATTGTGACAAGCCTAATTACATAATGTTTGAACCCATGTTTAAACAATTTGTTACAGGTCTTCAAGGCCATGCTTTTCTGCTTTGCATCTTTATATTACGTCATAGCTGCCATAGTTTTACCAAAACGTCAAAAGTTAAGTGATCACAAAACCCTGTGCGTTCTGTTTGCCCTTTGGAGAAAATGGCTGTGTTGAGCATCTTGCGGTCCGCAAGGACTGTTCTCCCGGTTCTAACAAGAAGGCCAGCGCAATTTGGACAGCTATGCCCAGGTAAGTGTGTTTTCTGCGAACTCGTGAGAATGTTGCCCTGCAGCTTGCAACGATGCTTGCGTTCCGCGACAGTTCATCTCAACGGTGGTGCTTTGATGTCGGAGCTGCCGGTGACTTTCGAAGCACAGCCTCGGCACATCTGTGCAATTTTTTCTTCTTTTCTCGCTGCGCATGATGATACACGGCTGAGAATATGAACGGATTTGGCGCTTCTCGCGCTAACCGTAGTGCTCAGTTTGTCGCGATGTGTCTGAGACGCAGCACTTTATAGTTCGAAAGGGGTGATGACAAAAAAGGCCGTATTTAGGCGGCTGCCGAGCTAGCAGGCTTTCGGAGATCGCCTCGCTTTGGCAGCCGCACTGCTCAAACTTTCAGAAGCGTCTTTTGTCTGACCTTTCACCAGTAACCGTGAAGTTAATGCCTTTTTTTTTTTTTAATTGTTCGATCTGGGCTACGCCTAAGAACTTCGCCTTTGCGGCCTAATCGCTCGGGGCACTTTCGATTGTAGCTGCGGTATTGCACGTATTGATCTCTCCTTCGACTTTTCGAAGTATCATGCCCTTACATATCATCATGGTGGTATTTTTTTTTTTCTGCACGCAGAAAATGCGTGTGTTCTTAAGTTGCACTTTGGGTACGCTGCTTGCGTAGTGAGTCTGTTGCAAGATGAATCTTACCATGGAAAGATTACACGATAACGCAAGTACTTCGCTTGACCCGCCGCAGTGGTCTAGGGATTATGGTTCTCGAAGGTCGCGGGATCGAATCCCGGCCGCATTCCCGATGGAGGCGAAAATGCTAGAGGCCAGTGGACTTACGTTCAAGTGCACGTTGAAAAGCCCCATGAGGTCGAAATTTCCGGAGCCCTCCACTGCGGCATTCCTCATAGTCATATGGTGGTTTTGGGACAGAAAACCTTAACAATTGTTACTTTTCTGCGTTTCTAGTGAGGAGGTCCTCCAATCACATGGTGATCACGCCTTCAAGGTTTGCTTGGAACCTGTTCAAGGATCACGTCCACTTTTATGTTCTTCTGGGTGCCATACCCCTGACCATCATTATCACGTACATCAACGTCGTCATCGGGCCACCGAGACTCGCAGAAATACCGGAAGGCTACGAACCCGAGTACTGGGAGTACTACGACGTGAGTGACTTTGTGGTGTTTCCCACATTTAAGTAGAAAAAAACAGAGTGTCCCCAAACAGCTTTTATCAGTCATCACAATGTAAGCAACACTACCGAGGAGTGCTACAGCATATTAAAGCTGTACAGTTAATTGAACGGCAGAGATAGTCACTTAGCAAAATATGTTCCAGTACATCATGTACGTTTAAGCATGTTTTTATGTTCGTGCAGTTGCAGTGCTGTACAAACTCAGAAAGTTCAATATATAACCCGTTAGAGCATGACACAATCTATCATACTAATGAAAGTCTAAGTAGCTGCAAGCATACCTTAAGACAATACATAATGTTCAACTGTTGCAGGAACTTCTAGGAAATATCACCACTCATGTTTTTTATCAATTCTCTTGCAATTTGAAGAGTGTTCTTCTTTTATGTGTTATAAACATTGTTTCTAAGATAAACATGGCTGTATCAAAGCTTTCAAAGATCTGTAGCTGCATTAACACATAAGTGAAGATTTTCTAATACTATCACTCCATACCGCTTAAAGATTTTAATGGTACAGCAGCCATTCTTGCAGTAATGTGTGAGGCTCTGTATGGATCCGTGATTGCCCTGACAAAGTTTTTCTTGTCTTTCTGTGTCCATATTTTTTTGTGTGCTAGAAAAGAATAGTTTCTTTGCAAACTTTGTGCCAAAACCCCAGTCATCGTGATGTCAAGATTTTCAATGCCTTTTTTTTTTTTTTTTACATTTCAGTTGCAATGGCACTACAGAAGTTCCTAAACCTTGTCTTGATAGCTTTTTGGCTCCATTGAATCACATTGCTTTTATTCCAAGCAGTTTTTTTTGTGTGTGTATGTTTATAAATTACTCTATATTAACTCATATTCTAATTAGAAAGTTTCCCAAGGTCATCTTTTCTCACTATTTGCTGGTAATGTGCGCTTTTCTTTATTATATTTGCCAGCACCCTATCAAGCGCTTCTTTGCTAAATATCTAATGGACAACCCTCAGATGAGGTACGAGAAGAAGATGCAGGTATTGCAAGACGAGCACGAGAAAGTTCAGCTGAGGTAAGTGAACAATTCATTGTCTTTCAGCTGGCTTTGTTTTGCATGGTTACAGGTTGAATAGTTGGATCTTGTCATCTTCATCAGTAAAAGCATCAACAAAGCGAACAGCTGTGTAGGTTTATGTGTTCTCTTGACGAAGTGCCAGATCTGTGCAGTGTACATAAAGGCTGAGAGACATGGCAGAGGACCTATTCCCGAATCTTTGCAACAGAAAGACTAATATGTACAGGCAGCCCGATTGCCTAAGCCAGCTAGATGCTCAAAGATCTTAGCTTTACTGCCATTGTAACACCAGATGTGTGCACCTTTTTCTTTCACAAGCAGATCATTAAGAGGGAAGTTTACGACATGGCCATAAAAAAAATGAAGCATCAAATATGGAAAAACTAAGAAACTTAACCGACATTAACTGGAACGAATTAAGAAAGTGCTGGCAATGATCACGAGTAATAAACAGGCGCCTAAATAATCAAGAGGCAGATTGCCATGAAAACATTTAAAAAGGTAAGACTTTTATAAAAAAAAAACAGTACAAACATTACTTGGGAAAAAAATGACAATGCAATGGCAGTGATAGCTGATAAAAACAGACACCTGAATAATTAAAAGGCATATTGTGTACTGAAAACACTTGATAAGAATTTGACCAACGAGAAAGACATGCTTATGTTGCTTATGTAATTCATAGTGTTTCGTTGGTGGAAAGCTTTTAGTAAGTTTTCTCTTGCATATTTGGATGGCTGATTAGTTTAGAACTGCCCATTGCCTTGACTTCCTGTCATTTAACATAATGATGAACTTATGGACCACTCTCTCCGCAGTCTTAGTTTTTTTTTTTTTTCTCATCTTTCTTAGTGTTTCACTTAGTACGTCCTAAAGGGGCCCTGCGACACTTTTTCGTCTGTGCTCAGCAGTGCTAGAGTGAGTGTTAACGTTAAATACCGAGATTCATCGAAGAATTGTCAGAAATGGTGCATGGCAATGGAAGTTATTAGTCTGCAAACTTCAGAATGCCAGCAGACAAGAAAAAACATTGCCTTTTGTATACGTTAAAGGCCAGTTGAGAACACTGTGCAGCTTTACCGAGATAAACCGGATGACTCACTATGTGGTGGACGCTGTACGGTGTACCTAGCATTGTAGCATCGAAGAGTGCTTTTATCATTTTTAGCGTACATTATTGTGGCTGATGTAGGGCTATATGAGTATTATCTGCGACTTGTCACGTCAAAGCTACTAATCAAAACGCACGGCCAATGTCGGCACTCCCAGACGATGAAGCGTCACTTTCAATCACAAAAATAGATGTGTGTTGCTCTGGTCTGAAATCAATGTGCTTTCTTTGTTGAAATAAAATAGCCTTGTTTATGGCGTTGCTACTCATGCAAACGATATTGGTGCACTGCACGATGTGAACCACAGACTTAATTTGTGTCCTTTAAGAGCACCTCACAATCTTGACGTCACAATCGTCACATCACACTTGGGACACACTTGTGATGTCCCAAGTGTGGGACATCACACTTGGGACGTCACATCACAGTTGGGAAGTCCCATGTATATTTGTCCATGCTTGCCTTGCGTCTTTTGCAAGTTGTCGTGCAGCTCTCCATTTGCAATGTATCGTTGATTGAAGGCAACTTCTTTACATTAATTGACTGTATTTGTCCAGGTTTCACTCCTAATAATTACAGAGCTTTGGCATGTGCCAAAGGAACCATTAAACAAAGGAACAGTATTCAGTATCGCAGTGTTAAGACTGAAGGCTTAACACAAACTAAGACTGTGGGACGTAATTGCGATTAACTCAACAGTTCCGCTGCACAGTTTGCAGACACAATTCTGCTTGATTGCATCACAAGTAATAATCAGTTCCATTAGAGCATACCCATAGTCACTATGTGCTATTCGCCTTAAAAGACACTGAAACAGCTTGGAAGTACCAGTGTAGGGGAGCTTGCTGGTTGAGTGTTAGGTAGCCCACTACGTCAGCCGCATTTATTTGCATTTATAAAAGGACTGCATTGGTTGCCGCAAAACTTGCGCTTGCTGAAGACCTTTTTTACCCTGAGCGTCTCAAATTATCGACCGCTACGTCTCAAATTATCGACCGCTACTCAAGGCGTTAGAAGGGTAGGAGCTAGAAACGTGCGAACAGATGCTCCGAAGAACAGTTGCGAGCGTGACGATTTCTTATGTACAGCCGACTCAAGACAGACATTTTGACCTTTGTGCTAGAAACTTTTTTTTTTTTTAGAAAAATGGACTGTAAGCACAGAGCACATGCAAGTGGCTTGTCGTGGGTGCGTGTTCACTGACTATTTGTGTTCGGAGAAGTGGTTTCCAGCAAAAAAAAAAAAAAAAAAAAAATCAAGCATGAATATGGAAATATAATAGAAAATACAGAAATGTGTGTGCAGGCGCTTGTGACGTACGCTGTGTATATTTCCCCCTAGTTCTTTTGTAACAAAATCGGTTTGTAGTGAGTGCCCATCCAGTCTTCTTGTGTCCCATATTTCTTGTGCTCTGCTTTTCATTTCAGATTCCCAATAGAATACACTTCCGAATTGCAAAGAAAAAAAAGTGATTTTTTCCCTTTCATGCCCTGCACCCTTAAAACATGGACCATATAGCTTTTAGTCAAGTTGGATTTCATTGAGCCACTGTTGGAAAGCACATAAACAATTTTAGCCAAGTAATAATGTTGGATTCTTTGTTTTCTTGCAGAGAGATTCAGAGGAAGGTCGAGAAATTGATGCAAGAGCGCGGTGACTTCCAGGCGTGGTACTACATACCATATGACAGCAAGTACACCAAGAAGTACCAGAAACAAACAAAGACCGATGACTTCTACACCAAGACAATTTAGTTGCCGAATATTTCTCATTGGTACAATCACCCCAAGACGAAAAAATCGGCAGTGTACAGTAGAAAACAATAAAAACTAAAACTTCTTCACATTTTATTGTGACTAAATATTGTTTTCCTACGATGCTGTTGATGCACATATTCTTGATCACCAATTACTCCGTAGTGTTCATGACGAAGAGGTACTTTTGTGCAAGGTGAGGATACCACATAACCTGACTAAGCATCTCTGGTGCAACTGTGTGATACAGTGGCATAATGTGGCATGCGCTTGTTGAATTGCAGCTGTTGTCTTCATGACTGTCGTCTAAACTTCCCAGGTTGCAGACTTCTTCAGCAGGTTGTGTATCATAAATGCGTATATTGAAAAAGCATGATGAACTTTTAAAAGATTCAAACATTTGCCTGTGGCTTGGTATTGTACACCTGAACTATAGGCATGCTGCAAGCAAAGGCTGTTACCTCCACGGTCTTAATAAAAACCCCAAATCACAAATATCAGTTCAGAACAAGAAACAGTTCACAAACAAGTGCTAGTTGGGTTAAGCTGCTTTACACTGAATATTGTCATCCAGACGTTTTTGCGAGTTTAAAAAAATAGTTACTTTCACTGAATGGCTCGAACACAGTGGAACTTGCCATCTAAATTTTCGATGCCTTCTGGTCTGACCGCAAATGTCTTGTATCTTAACAGAACATACAAATATGTCAATATTACTTTTTAATTGATCATGTGCCAAAGCATTCCTCAAATTGTTTCCAACAGCTTTTGATGACACCAAAAGTGCATTTGCTCCTATTTGTGTAGAAATAACGAATCTAAGTAAGTAAAGTGATGAATGTGTGGGGCATTGTGTGTGTGTATATATATATATATATATATATATATATATATATATATATATATATATATATATATATATATATATATAAACTTCGAGAATAGTGCAGTATAGGAAACAAAACAAAATATTTATTTACTCCTAACAGTTTCGGCTAATGGACCAGCCTTCTTCGGAGGATATAAGCGAAATGATACAAGTTCCCATAGCAGAGGGCCACCCTCACAGTTTGAAGACCCTCCCCAAAAAAAAAGAGAAGGAAAAAAGAGAAAAAAAAACTAGACAAACGGGCGGCTCTCTGTCGCTCCTTTCGTTGCGTCGCCGGAAACGACGCAACGAAAGAAGAACCTCCTATGTCAATTCTCGCTGTGTATCTTCCAGACCACCTGCCGTCCTTATTTGAGGGCCTGTCCACGGCGTCTTCACTTTCTTGAGGCGGACGGCGAGATCCTGACTCATAACAGAAAAGTCGGCACCGATGTCGACTAAGGCTGTTACTTTCTGGTCAGAACGTAGCCGCTCTAACGTCTTGTCGGCTTTACAGCGTCGTGTAATGGGGACTTGTCATCTTCATGGCCTGCAACCTTACCCCCGGAGGTCGCCGCCCTCAGTTTCCCCGGCACGGCCTGGGTGACCTTCTTGCGTTTAGGTTCGCGGAGGTATGTCGGTGTGACGAAGGTGAATGCGCTGGAGAAAGAGAGCGGGATCGCCGTCCCAAACCTGGCTGGCGAGTAGGTATTGCCTCCTCGTCAGAAGTACGGTAGTCGTAAAAGTGAGAACGGGCTCCTTGGAAAGAGGCGTCCTCCCGGCGTGGTATGTATTCTTCGTTCGCACGTCGATCGTTAGACCATGTTCGAAGAGGGCGGAACGAATCACTGCGGGGCCAGCAATGACGGGCAATATGAGCTGCACTTCCACAGTTAAAGCATAGTGGACGTCGATCGATTGTGCGCCATGCGTCTCTTCTTCGGAGCGGTGGACGTCTGAGCCTCCCATCTTGCGACGATGTCCATGGTGCTGCTGTGGACGGATGGTGGTACGTCAGTTGGTTTGGTGGTCGGCTCAGGGTCTGCTCTTGCGGCAGTGACCAAGGGGCTGTTGGAACTGGGCGGTGTGGCAGCAATATAGCAGATGGTGAACCTCAGAGAGCGTCGGCGTAGCTCGTGGGACGGTGCTTGTCATCAGGACCAGCGGTAGAAAATGCGTGGCGGATTTCGTCGCGTACCAGTCCAGCGACGGACGCAACGGGGGTTTGAGCAACTGTAGTCCGGAACTTCTGTAGTTCTTCGCAAACTATCTCCCTAATGAGGTCTCGCAGGGAGCTTTGATTCTCAGGTATGGCGGCAGCATTGATTGGGACGCTGCCAGACATTCGATCATACTGCCTGCATCGTTGATGGAGGGCCCGCTCAATAGGCGTAGCCTCCTTGATAAAGTCAACTACGGTACTTGGAGGGTGGCACAGTAGCCCGGCGAAAAGTTGCTCTTTAACCCCGCGGACGAGGTAGCTTAACTACCTATCTTCGCTCATGTTCGGGTCAGCTCGACGGAAAAGACGAGTCATATCTTCGGCGAACATAGCAACGCTTTCATTGGGTTTTTGAACCCGTAGCTCCAACAGCTGCTGCGCACGGTCCCGTCGATCGACATTGGCGAACGTGTCGACAAGCTGTTGTCGACAAGTCGCCCCAAGTTAACAGACTGGCGTCTCTGTTCTCATACCAAATTTTCGCAATGCCGTCAAGGTAGAAATAGGCGCGTGAGAGCTTTTCTTGTTCAGGCCACAGATTAATCTTGGCAACACGCTCATAGTGCTCAAGCCAGTCGTCAACGTCTTCATGGGCGCCGCCACTAAAGTGATTGGGAACCAGTGGTTGAAAGATGGTTACCTGTGATGGCTGTGTCGGAGGGGGGCCTTGGGGTGCCGGTTGTGGGCTGGCGTTGGCTATTTGGTGAGGTAATCGGCACCTGCGAGGTTCCGTAAAAGGAGTGAACTCTGGCACGAGGCCTATCAGCCTCTGACTGAACCGGTGTACGGGTGTTGCAATAGGTGGCAATGTGTCCGGGCTATATGAACGGCTCCCAGCGGGAGTATGGAGCATTAGGCAGGGTTGCGACTCAGCACCTCCACAAGTGTCGCGGTACAACAGGAACAAAAGGCAGATAGATGTTGACACAGCGATTCTCAGCAGCCCAACAGCAAGATCACCTGCTTTGTCTTCGATCGGCAAGAGCTCCACTACCTGGTGTCCTACCCTTATCGTCGTTTTTGTCCACCAGTACACACGCGTCAGTATACACACACACACACACACACTGTTATGCTTAAAATAACAAGGCTTTTGTCAAATACTACAGACAACCTCTTGGTAATGAGATAATATAGTGCAATGCCACCAAGTCAAATTCGCATTACAATAAACGCTGAAGCATAGACTTTCATACAATAACACCTAGAGAGGAATCTAGTGCTGCAATCATGTACACTCACAAGAATTATGGGAAATACAGGCTTCTGATTGGGAGATCATGAGCTGAATCATGAACTGAATCTTTGTTGTACATAATGCGGGATCTTCTAGATCCCTTTACAGTTCCCATCTTTCTTCAATAATGTAAATAAATCTTCATTCTTTCTGTGTTAACGCGCCTCCTCACTGGTGAAGACCAGCTATGCCGACGACAGCGGGGAGCCAGCTACACTAATGAAAACCCGCTGCCATCATCGACCTTCGAGCCCTTTACAACTGGTGGCAGTGATGGGATGCCATCATCAACTTTCTAACCTTTACAACTCTACAAAGAGCACAGCGCAGTCGCCGAACATGCTGAGACGTTGGATCACCACACCAATTTCGAAGCGACGGCCATCCTTGAAAGCGAGCCGAACTGGAGGAGAAGGTTGTTACTCGAGTCGTGGCACATACAGAGGACAGCCCATAACATCAAACCGCTCTTTCAGGAACCCTTCCCCCAGTGTATACACACAGACTGTGTTCCATGGCAAAACGAGAGAGAGAGGGGTCATATCCACCCCACAAGTGCTTTGAAGACGCCGCTGCTACGTAGCCTCCGCAGTCACCCCTGAGGAAGGAACCAAGTCGGTTTCGAAACGTCGGGTTTCTTCAAAACTTTTGGTTGGAGTCTAAATCATCTCCCAGTTTCATACCTAACCAGACAGACTTCTGTCGAATGTTTAGATTCAAGGCTTCAGATTGGATTTCGTTAGCTAGCGAACTGTCTACGGATATTTTTCTACAGTCAGTTTCGTTCTTCGTGCAATGTTGGTAGTGGGGTGTGGTGCAAAGCACGCACGCAGCAGCCTTTGTTGTTCAAAGAGGCTGAAGACCATTTGGTCTCTTGATTTGCTGCGACATTGGAGTGTTACACATAGTGTTTCGCAGTTCAAGCGAAGTGTTGTCCACTCACCGCTGTGCATAGATGTAGCGTCCCATGCCAGTGCAGGATGTCGTATGGAATTGACATCTTTAATGGGGCGTCATTCAAATTGATTGTAAAAGGACGACAAAGCAAAGTAGACACACATTCACGCTCCTCTGACTCGACTTCAGAGCAAAACGAGAGGTGCATTGGGGGTAGACCACTTGGACAGATGCACCTGACATCGCAGCAGACGAAACGTTAAGTGTTTCTCAATTAATACTGTGCTGTTATTTTCGTCAATAGGTAATGCGCATTTTTGAGGAAGAAAAAAACAACAATGTTTGTTTCGAAGTGTAAAAGATAGTTCATTATATCTTGATGCCGAATTCGGAATGCAATGGCAGAGCAATGCATACCGCAGTGGTTAAATTTGTTCAGGTTTCACTTTTACAACCTAGTCACAAAAACCTTTTGCAATGAAGTTTGCGTACAAAAAAATAAGGCAAGTTTGAATTACAGATAACTTCATATCATTTTGTTTTTACACTCGGCAAACAAGTGTCGCGAATCTGAAAAACGTGATATATCTGAAGTAGGTCTGAAGCCTGTACTTCCAATAATTCCCATCGGGGTACAAGCGCCGCTAAAGGAGCCTGCATAGACTCTATCAACAAATTACCCTCTAGGTATTATTGTATGAAACTCTATGTGCTGAAGTAACGCCGAGATCAGATGGCTTGCTAGTATCCACAGTAGAAGCTGGCATCTACTGACAAAAGAATACAGGTAAATTCAGCCACTAGCAATGCAAGTAATACCTGTACTTCTTTAAAACCAAGTCTTATAGCTGACACTAAAGTACACTGTTGCTTATATGTTTATGATAAATATGGACTGTTTTTCTTATAAACAAATGTGAAAGCAGTGAAAAATTGTTTAATGAGCTACATAAAAGAAGTTAAATCATTGAGAGCTCCCCACTAATCTAGTGGCTTGTTCAGTGTGCAGCGCTAAATTAGAAGTGTGAAATTTACATGGTAAATAATATTCAACCACACAACTGCATAAGGTGTATATTGGCTTCAACATGTGCACATGAGTTCAAACCGGTCTCATCAGACCTTCAAACTTCTGGTGACTGGAATACATAATCCATTTGAATTGTTTAAATTTTGTGCTTTATCTCTGCAATACTTGCTCAAGTAAACCATAACCAACAAAGTTTTAAACAAACCTCATTAAAACTCAGACCCCAGCATTTGTGAAATGATCTTTGCTCGATCAGAGCAAAAAATTTTCACCATGAGCCAGTCTAAGCAATCACACATATTCGAGGTAGTTATGATGAAAACCAAGTTTATTGCTCTGCATTATACACCAATTGTTCAATTATAACTATGGTATGTATCTGGCAAAAGGAATTATACATTGCAGCTGTATCTGCTGTAGTTTTTTTTATTATAATTACCTTTTGTCAATCAGTTTTTAAAATGGCCCACTTGATAAAAAGCAGTCAAAGACAATAATAACATACCTAGATCGCTTAAGAGATTTACTGGCAATAATTTTCAGAAGCAACACTTTCTAGCTAAACCTGGCCTGTATGTTCTACACAAATGTGAGAAAAAGAACGAAGGCTGGATAGGTTTACCTGACAGCTGGGTAACCCTGCAAGTATACAAAGAAAACTAGAAAATTTAGTCTTAGCGATATAAATATAGCTGGCCTGTTTGAATCATTTGACTACGAACTAAGAGATACAGATCAAACATCAAGTGGCAATCCAAAAGAACAAATACTATCACCGTGACATACGCCGTGAGAGACCACGCCATCACCGTGGCCCGAAAATGCATGCCATGATGTGCCTTCTTAAACATGCGGCCTCACAGGAAAAAATCTTTGGCTGTGGACGCTGCACAGCATTATAAAAAGGCGACACCCAAATGCGACTGTGCCAAAATACTAAATCAGGAATTCATGTTGCTGCATTTAAAAAATAAAGCAACGATAGCATCAAGCCGACTGGAGCACTCAAACGCAGATAGGATGGTTATGTTAATATCAATGTGAAATGTCAAGGCATGGGCCATGCTTTAGAGTTTCTTCAATAATTACATAGAAAAAAATCTGACACCATCATCTATGCGATATTTTCTTTTTTTATAGGAATTTTGTGCCCACGAAAACACCGCAACTTGGGCATGCGAGGTTACTACCGAACGTGGCTTAAGCCGTGATCTTATAAAAAAGAATAATCCTTTCAATTACGATTTACTATAATGCATTTATTTGCCTATAATGCACCTTCCGCAATTTATAAGAAACAAACTTAAACTTGGACACCGTAGAGGGTTTTATGTTTTGTGCGTCCAATGTTTGGAGTACACAAACCACCAGGAATTTGAAAGTAGCCAAGCCGACATACAAAGGCTCATGAATGAGGTATGGCACATTGAGTGCGCAACGGTTTCTCTGGATACACAAAGTCTATGACTACGCAGTCAGAGGAGACTCCATACTCTTTTACCAAATAATGTTTTGACTGGGCGTGAATGTTTGCTAAAACAATTAAGTTTGCACTTTGCAAACAGTTTTGTTAAAGAATGAGACACTGTGACAGTAGCCAATATTGATTTTGCTCTTTGAAGAAGATGCCAATGATAAGCTTTTTGCACGTCAGAAGATATATATCTAAGGGCATTCAATTTTATACCAGCAGGACGAAGCCAGTTTTTCCTCTAAGTAATTACGAAACTCCATAGGGGGAGTGCAGTGAAACATAATTGCCGCGACACTCTTGACGTGATAAGAGTGATACAAACGGGAAGGACGAGCCTAAGTGCAGCCTAACTGGAATGTGCGCTTCTAAGTAGGTGGTGGGTTGTAGTACCACAATCCGCTTGCAAACATGAAAAATACACTTCTGGAGACAAAACATAGCTACAGCTGTTGTGTGAGAAAGTATGGTGACAAACTTTGTTACGATCACTGTGAAACACACGGTGGACTCGACACAGAGCGGCAATTCTGTAAACGACACCATTCGCCCGTGATAAGCTGCAGTCATATGTGCAACTCTATTTATCAGTCTGTGAACGAGAATATGGGGAGCTGGCTACTAGTACCGCTTGTCGACCACCAGATCGGCGCGATGAACTCGGGTTATCACAGGATCGAAGCTTTATCCAGAAATGCCATCTCTACGGCTTTCACGCACTACCGTACGTTGAAATAAAAGAAGCAGCACGTGCTTAAGGGATGCCGAATACATGCGCTCAATCGAATAAATCAGTGCTGTCCTTTAAGAAAAAACATTGTGCATTTGCACCTTCGCGGAGGAAGAGAAGAATAAGCTTTTTACCGAAGCCAAACATTTGATAAATATTGATTTTTCACATTGACTACGAAACCTCAGCCAAGAGAGCCAATTCTGTAGCATTTTCTGATGAACGCTGAACACTGGCCAATATGTAGGAAAAATTGTTAAAATTATTATTAGTTGCATGTACTTTATCCTTCAAGCATACGAAATCGACAGATTTAGGAGACGTCCGACTTTATATAAGGTATAGAAAGTGAAAACAAAAAAAAAAATAATTGAAAAGGGGGTGGGCCTAACAAAGATTTTCATTGCTTAAATTTCTGAAATATAATTATTTTTCATTAGTACAAACAAGCAGAAAGGTACAACATGACGACCTGCCACAATTGATGACCTCGCGTGACAATGGTTCAGCGCTTCACTTTTCGGCCCAAGCTTGCAGTGGAATGTACAAACTTGTCCTCCTGTATATGTTAATTCACCATTTGAGCGTATATAACTACAGCGTCCCTATCAGCGTGTGCCAACCACGTGCAGTTCTATTTCGGGTGTCATGTACACAGTCACGTGGGGTGAAGAAAAGGGCCAGATATAAATGACTCAGTGGCCATTATGCTTTAGGCAACGTTTCAGGAATGACAGTTAACACACATCATATGGGGGGGGGGGTGTCGGCACTAGGGTGGCAACCACTGCTTTGGACCCGGTGTAGGCAATGACACATTTCTCACTGTTTGATGTGCACCCCCCATCTCGGGAGTTTTTTTAGCAATATTCCTGCAGGTCCCACTGAGACAAGCTGTAGATTTTCAGCTTGGTCTCTTGCTTTGCTTGCCGCAACGAATAAACGGGATAAACATTCCGTTAGGCATCGGATTCTGTTAAGTATCGGCAGCAGAGTTTCGGCACTCAAGATATCTAGTTGCCACTTTATATGCACCTTTTGCTGTATGTTCAGATGAATCTATTTGAAACTGACGCTGAAGCCTTTTTGTTAAGTATGTGCATTGCACCAATACTTCAAATAAATGAAGATAGTAAATGCACGTGCAAAGTGGCAGTCTTCGAAACACTTAATAAAATTTTTCTGCAATCACCTCAAGTGTTACGGTCGGTAAAATTTCGTAAAACTGGCAAGCTGGTGAAACTTCCCTGTGAAATACCTTTGCATTCTACACATCCTGTATTTCAAAACAAGCAGCAGTATAATAAGCATCACAACTGTGCAAAAGAGCTTCAGGAGGTATCACTATCACGCTGCGCTGCTTACACTCGTGTATAGGGACTAGCGCGCTATAAACCGTAATGCGACTTTCAAACGATGGCGATAAAATTTACACCAATAGCAGCTACAGATATTGAAATAGCACTCGATGAACACAACATGTGCGCAGGCAGCTGCCCATCAGCACCTTTCACTTTGCACTTGTATGGGCCTTTCAGCACAATCAACAACATACAACACTCTTGACAACGAGAATTGACAAAACAAAAACAGACAAGATATTATTAAATACCCATCCACCACACAACTCGTGGCTCATCAACAAAAAATACTATTTACAAATGAAAGATAAACAAAATGTAACAAACTGGTCGTCAATCCAACAAAGCTTGGTATAAAAAACAGCTCTTTTTCAGTGGTTCAGGTATCAATCAAAAAAAAAGAACATTAAAGCATAAAAGAATGCGCAAGGAGATGCAAGCTGTTGGGCGATTTGTGAGGAAAAGAAATGCGAGCAACCGAAAAACTACTGTTTGTTCGAGATGCTGCAAATGGGGGCTGTGGGAGTGACGGCAGTAAATGGAGGCATCGCAGCAGGATTCCCACTGGCCGTGCCAAAAACTTGCGCCCGGAGCTCAGATGTAGTACAGGCGGACCTTAGATGTGCTAACGAGAAGGTTGTCGTCGAAAAACTTCGTCTCGATTACGACATTCCCACTGGCAGAGAGGAGTAACGTAACAAAATTACAAAGTGAGCTATTAACAGTAAGGCACCTTGAATGTTGTAACATAAAGTATTGAAAGTGGTTAACTGCTTGCTTATATTTATATGGCAATAACGGTCATATGCTACAATCCAGCAGTTTTCATATTTTTATCTACACTAGAAAACAAGGCTGTCCCTAACCCAACTTATTACTCGTGTCACAAGCTCATGAATGCTAAATAACAGAACCGTACTACAGCACAGTAGCAGCAGAAAATTCTGAAGAATAATCTCAGTGTTGCCACATTCCTTCTTTAGTAGTTCTTTATCTACTGAACAATTGCCTTATTTAGCAAATGGCTAGCAAATATTTCACGATGTTTTCCTAGCGAGTTCACAGGAGAGCTTACAAAACTAATTTACATTTTAAATATTATGTTATTTTACAAGAAAGTAATGGAAATGCCAGTTATCACTGCCTATGGCTGGTAACCAGGACTGTAGAAAAAATCTAGGGAGAAAAAAACTGCCAGCTCACTGCATTTTTCATAACATTAAAGTCGTTATAGTGACGCTCAGGCAATGAGTTTGTTACATGCACAAATAAATGAATGGTTGTTACAATCAGTGTACCCTACATGTCTCTGTAGTGTATCTGCTACATTCCAGTCACAGTTTAAATTAATTACGAGTGTGTCAGTATCTTTCAAATCTGTGACTAATTTTGTGTTTTGGTAAGGCTGGTTCCAAATAAATTTTCTGCATACTACCCTAAATATGCAGTGGGCTCCACAAATTACTGACATTGCTTCGTTGCAGTCCAAGTTTTCAAGCGACAATAAAAAAAGAAAATAAATAAACAATGTGTGACGGTAGCAGCACTGATTGTTATGACACGTTAGCCATCTGCCACAAGATACGTGAATGTTCTGGCACGACATTATGTAGTGCCCCTATGACAAACAAAATAAGTTAAGATGATATTGCCATGGTTACCACCGATCAACAGCACTATGATTAGCAGAAGTGATAAAAATAACATTAGCGTGATGCTCATTTTGGCATACAAGTGGAACACTGAAGGGCATGTTGATTAGTTCACTAACTAGCGGTGGATTAGGCAACATTACGATGACATAAAATAAAGAGAACATGGTACATACTTCAATACGTTGGCAGGCATCATCTGAGATTCGGGCGCTGCCTCTATTAACGACTGCCACGTATTGGTGGAATTGGGGATGACGAAGCCAAACTCAAAAAACCACTCTGGAAAAAACATTCAGATGAGATTAATAGAATAAGTTATAAAGGATAAAATGCACTGGCATTTTTGTTCTAGGACTACTTTATAAAACTTCATCAAGGTGCACTTTAGACATGCACGTGCTTTGGACAAAATGACAAAAAATTCTCAAAATGATTGTCATCAAACAATGTAAAAAAGTTAATAATTGCGGAGGTTTTTCGTCTCAAAATAAAGATACGACAGTGAAAGATGCCGTAGTGGCGGGCTCCAAATTTACAACCACCTGGTGTTCTTTTAACGTGTTACTTAACAAGTTAAACAGTCAGTTTGGAAGCTTCTGTAACGTAAGCACAGTTGTAACAGTATGAGAAACAATTAAAACATTATTCAGTATACGGGATGCATTACAAATGAACTATTGAGTCATATTTTACTCTCTTTAGCTTTGCATTCTTTTCCTAGATTCAAGAGAGCCGACTGCTAAGTATCAAGCCTTGATGAAGCAGAACACAAGTCTCATATCCCTCTTGTTTTTAGATATATGCCTACGAAAAGATAAGATAGTTGCTCAGACAATGTTCACTGTCTTATATTTCTGATAAGAAGCTAATCTAAGAGTGCCTCTATTACACAGATAAGAACATGGCTTTCCACACAACACATCCCCCTTTTACAGCTCCCTTTGAGTGATGAAAGAGGTTAAAGTCCAGTATAGGCAAGTGCTGACAATCAAACATCTTGAACACGGCAGAGGCTATTGCTTAACATGTTCGCCATCACTTACAATGCAAATACGCTGTTTCAAGAGAATGAGGCGTAAGCTGCTGTTATACACTGTTGTCACAGGAACAACTCACATGTGGCTAATGACTGTTTGGCCTCCTGTACAGTTAACATGTCTTGCCTCTTTCAGATTTTCTCCCTGCGCCTCCCTCTAAGTAACTATGATCTACTCAATGTACGCATTACTTTAAAGCAGTTGGGCAGAAAGCAAACCTACAATATCACTCCTCTAGCACATCAAGGATCGCCAAAACCTTCATATCCCCTGTTATCAACATTAGCTGTTTCAGTGTAAAGTTTCTCCTAGCACTATTTGCGTTTACGGCTTAAGTCGCCGTTCTCCAGTGTGAAAGCACGGCCAGCGTTGCGAGGTGAGAGAATATGAGTGCTTATTTGCCAGCGCTGATTTAATTTGAAGCTTATAGTGGTAAAACCGTCATGCACTCTTAGCAAGAAGGAAATTAAAGAGTAAAAACTGTGTGTAGCAAAAAAAAAAAAAAGCTCTTATCTTCCGAACGATACTGGTTTCTATTGAGGTGGTATTCCTTTGAAAGGAAGCTGTGCAACTACATTATTATTCTGCAATTTTTTCAGTTTTAGCTGGTACAGGAGTCTTTCCACAGTTCCCTAAAAATACTAGAGACATGACTATAGCGCTGCCGATGAAAGAGGTTAGTAATGAGTTCTTGAATGCACTTTTTTCATGATACACCAAAAGACACTCAAGTCACCCCTCTTACCAAGATTCTACCAAAGGCCTTTATTTGAAAGCAATAGGTGCTTTCAGTTCTTCTGCCATTCTGCACTATTTTGCAACAACTGCACACATATGAAACTACTTTATCCGAAGTTATAGCAGTCCTTGCATTCGAAGTTTGAAATTGTTTTCGTGTAAATACTCATCTTTGTATCTGCTGTTCCATGTAGTGAAGCTTTTACAGGTGCGGATGTCTACATGATGATGGAAAAAAGTGAACTGAGGGCGATGAGGCATTACCAAAAACGACCACAGAATGTTTTGCTGAAACCTACAGCATTAAGCACATAAGCGAGCCGAATGTTGCGTTATTTCTGAGCTGCGGTTACTCTTAGAACCTTCTACAGAGCAAATCGATCGTGAAACGGCGATTTATCCGAAGCGAGGTCAGTTGAAGATAGGCGGGGCACGGTTATGGCGTAAATGTGCATTTGCGTTTCAACAGTGAAGTGCACACGGATCATTGACACAATATCGAACGATACAGAGTAGACATATAATCCCACCTTCCAGGCACCGCCCTTTGAAGAGGACCTTTTGCTCGAGCCGAAATTTTTCCATTGACTCGACAGACGAAAAATTGATCTCTCGGGACACGGCACGGCATTTTAATATCTTCTTAGGAACTCTAGCTGCAAATATAAGAAAACGAATATGAGCAACGAGCGTCGTAAACCTAAGACATACCAATGTAAAAAAAAAAATTATAATGACCGGTCGAATTACTGCGGAGTTTTTACCTTCGTGCTCGACATCCGGCTTAGACCTGTAGGTAAAAGTGAAGTTCAATCAATTGGGTGCCAAATCACAGCGAGACCTAAGAGAACTGCTTTTCGTTTACTGCTTACAGATCGTCGGTCCCCTGCCAAAGCATTTTGCCGGTGTCAGCATCTCTCAAATTCATCCAGTTCCTTAAAAAAAGCGCGAGGGTTAAGGAAACCAAGTAATAGATAAGAAGTACAAATAGCACGTCGCAGTAGCGGTATACGAGCATAAAAAATGACACGGTCGAGACACTTGCGCAGAGAAATACCGCTGCAAGGCCACTTAAATGGAAACAATCAATGAATGTCTGGCGTGCTCATGCTTGCGCCTGTGCACCTAACACGCAAAGCGGGCTTTGGTGACGAAGCATAAGGATACAGCTTAAATCCATTTAGAATGTCTTCGCCTTTCGAAGGCATTTAAGCACACCGTCTCGCACACAAAACCGACCACCAAGCGAAAACCGCACAGCACCACCGGCGCCAGAGACACTTGCGCTTGTGCCGATGTTTACAACGTTAGCTACGAACCCAGAAATTGTTAACGTCATATAACGCCTTTCTGACTCTTAACGTATACTGCACCAAGTCTTTTAAAACTTGTGTATAAAACGAGTTAGGTTGATTCGCGAGTTCATCATTTTACATAACGACGAAAGCGTATGGTTTGAGAGTACAAGCAGTCAACCATGCGTCGCGAATCAGCTGGGGAAGTAAATACTTCATAAAGAACATGTTCGATTCGATCGCACGAGTCTAGAAAAAAAAAAGGGGGGGGGTCCATGTTTACAAATACACGCCTAAATTTGTGCGCACAAGTCGACCTGACCAGACGCGGTTGGTAGTGGTATGATTACGATTTTCCGAGCAGTGTCTCCGTAGCCGATTTTTTTCAATTTTTCCTGCTTCATATACGGGTCGATCCGTGCTGTCGCTGAACGATTAATGCGTTCGGACTGCTCAAGCTGCTTCCCAGAGCAGCTTCTCGTCTCCACGAACCGACGTGCTTTTTTTTTTTTTCTGCGCAGCTTGACTTACCAGTGAGGATGCACACAACGTTTTCACGCAGAGGCGGTGCTAGTGACATGGATCGCCAATCAGCGAGCTAATACTTTAGCTCACGAGACAGTAGTGTCATACAACTTCACCCAGCTGTGACCCCGTTGTTTGTTTCCTGTTAGCGTCATGTCTATCCGAAATTTAGTGGAGGCCGAGTGCGGCACTCCAAATCCTCTCGTCAAACTTTCAAGTCATGCGATCCAGGACGCGGCGAGACAGCAAGTAAGTCCAGTTTCCTGTTAAAATTATTGGTTATAGTGAACATCACATCCTTGCCTTTTCTCGTATTTATTTATTTGCAGGAAGGGCTTCTGAGGCAAAGACACCAAGGACTTGGAGCAGTAAGATTAAACTTTTTCACTAAAAACCTGGCCCTACACATCGTGGAAAATATCACTCTCGAGTTACATGCATTCTGTTGAGCTGCTTGATGCATATAAATGTGCAATACACAGTCTTAATAAGCTGACTATTCTGTATTGTTTTGACTTTAGTGATTTCTCAGCCTTTGGTTGGGGTGAAAGTAATGGAATTTCACAGTGAAACAGAGTCAGCATTTCATGCTATCACATCACCGACTTCAGGGGCATCATCAACATGCCTAACTCCTTCATTAATGACGTAACTTCTGAACAGTTGGTTGCTTGTCTACCAACTCTTTCATATGCGTGAAATATAGGTGAATATTTAAGAGAAACGTAGCCCTTTCTTCGGCCTATATTGCAATGTATGTGTACATCCAGTAACAATGCCTTTCCATTTTACTTCCAGGCTGGAACTTCAGAAGGGGTAAGTACAGCACAATTCTTGGGGAACGACCGGTGTTACTAGCTTAATTTAAAGGCTGGTGAGATGAAGTCGACTTGCTAAAAATGAAGGATAACTTTTCAAAATTTTGCACTTGGTGTGCATCCAGTAGTGCGGCAGAAATGTTAAGTGGCTCAAAAACATGAATTTTTTGCCTGCAAAGCTATTTGTACAAGGGTTCGCAATTTTATCTTCGACCAACTTGTATTATATGTGGGTGACAAGTTATCTTTTAAAACGTAATTCGCATGAATGACTGGAGTGCACAGGTGCTTGTATCATTTTGAGTCAGCTATATGTGGTTACACTAAATGGTTTTTCATACGTGTAGAGAAAGACTTCGGTTGTTTTCTTGCCTAATGCTCCAACTGCCAGCTTTTGCTTCAATATAGCCATCTAAGTATTGCTTAAAAGTTTGTGCAAGTCAAGTGTATGTACATGTCAAACATGCATTTTGCCATTAAAAGTCTTCTCATGTACGTTTTCCTTCTCATAAAATACATCAACTAACAACATTGATTGATTGATATGTGGGGTTTAACGTCCCAAAACCACCATATGATTATGAGAGACGCCGTAGTGGAGGGCTCCGGAAATTTCGACCACCTGGGGTTCTTTAACGTGCACCCAAATCTGAGCACACGGGCCTACAACATTTATCAACTAACAACAGGTTCCTTGACGAGTCCTACTGTCAATCAATAGTTTGGGACCTCCTTTGTTCGGCACTTTATGTGTCCCGTGTAACTTAACAATACCCAATAAACTTGCACTTACAAACAAACTTAAAGCAGAAAGCTCAATGGTAGACGTATCTAGACTGCAGTGTTCCTGTGTTCTGACGGCAGCTTTTTGTCCTGAAACAGCTTGTGGATGAATTTCTGGCCGAAAGGCGGGGACCAGAAAGGATGGCCCCACAGACCTTCCACATGGCTGGCCTGCTCCAGGAAATGCATGACATTGAGAAGATGTACCAGCCACCAGCACCAGGTATCAGCATTGTGGTTGAAAGCGTGTGAAATTTCTTTAGTGCGGGGGTGTCTAAGTGAGCTTCACATTTTTCTTGTCAACCTATGGACCTATCTACTTGTCTTCAGCATTTACTATCAGCCTTATGTGGGCTTACATCTGTCCCCACATTTACTCAAATATATGTCAATGTTCTAGCGTTCATACGCCAGCTCAATATACATGTTTATCGAAAGCATAAATTACCAAAAGGTATGGGAAGGGACTGCCTTGAGCTTCCCCTGCAGTCCCTTTCGTGGCAGGTTTTATTCGTTCAACAAAAATATTCCTACTGGATTGCAAGTGCCGATTACTCGTTTTTGAAGGTATGAGATCAGAAGGCATGTCGTATAGCACCAATTATGTGAGATAATGGTGTTGAAGAGCATTAAAACCATGATTGAAAAAGATAATTATGTGCTACAGAACTCATGACTTGACTCAGTCAGACACGGATTGCGAGTCCAGGTGAGCAATATAGTAGAGTGAGTGAACCCGACCGTTGAGTTAAGCTCTATGCCCCGCCCGTTTTAGCTCTAGCAGGTGTTGCTGACGCGGGCGTCTCCAAGGCTTGGGCCGATGAGTTTATTCCCTCCATGCCGGTGGTAAAGGAAGAGCCCAGTATGGTCGCTGCTGTCTGGTCCCGGGAGTTTGCAGGCCCTTCTACGTCAACACTGTCTCAGCAAGCTCCCATAAAGTGGGCTGAGGAATACTTGTTAGAAAGCGAACAGCAGAATGCCAGGTGAGTTCTAGGAAAGGTCAAGCGACACCCCACATTACGCCTGTTTCTGACTTGCCCTTCTAACCGCCGAGCTGTTTGGTAAGTCTTTTCTAGTTGGCACCGTATCAAAGAAATATTATCATGAACGGGTATGTGCCACAGAAATTGGTTAAATTCCACTACTCGCCATGGGTTTTACTAAAACTGAGTAAGGCAACAGTTATACCAACAAACTGGCATGTGCCACACAAATTCGTGCAGCCTATCAAAAAACTTTCGGCATCATAAACATATATGATCCATAGAAATTACTACACACAACTTCTACTAAAAAGAAAGATGCTAACAGTTAGCCCAACAAATGACGTGCGTGTTACCCCACTCATGCCGCTGTCAGGTGGTACCTTGTGGTTATAAAAGTAAGTGTACAGCTCGTGCTTAACTATGTGTAGGGATGGGTTGCCCAATGATTGTCTCATGCGTCTTAACACCCAAGTCTAACCCTGCTACAGCCAAGTTCAAGCAGAAGTTCAACAACACCACAGCCAAAGTCAAGCCAAGTTCAAGCAAAACATCAAGCAAAAGTTCGATATAGCTACAACCAAGTGGAGGTTAAATAAAGCAAAAGTTAAAAAAGAAGTTCTGCCTAGACACAGCAATAAATAAGCACTAGATTGATCAGTTTTGCAGTGTAACGAGCATTTCGTGGCTTAGTGCAAGATTTGACCCATTTTTCTCTAATTTGTCTGATTTTGCTTCGTTATTGTGAAGCAGCACATGGCCTATCTTTTTGCTATGTTTATATTGAAGCACTTCCTGCAAATAAATCAAGTTGATAATCTGTGCTTTTGCTAATTAGAACGTGTAGTTATACCATACGAAGCCAACAGGTAATGAAGCTGAACGAAAGTACAGGGGCATTATTCATAGTTTTTGATTCAAGTGACGTTTTCTCATTTAAATTCATTTACCTTTAGCTAACAATTACTGTACTTAAATTAAAGCTACAAGTACTGCCCCCTGTACAACATTTGTAACCTTATTTATCCTAACATGTCAAAATAACAGGTCTGCATTGAATTATTGCCAATGCTAGGGAAATGTAACGCGTAAGAGTGCGATGAAACCACTTTTCGTACAAGTGTGTATGCCTTCTGACTTCATATTTTGGATGAATATTTATTTTGCATATTTATCCTCCGAGTTATATTTAAAAAGGATTAAAAAAAACGGGGCACTTTAATGTTTGAGGGGTCACATGGGGATACTAGGACTACATTCAAGGACATACCTCCCAAATTGCGTGAATTGTACACGCAACCTTGGGTGTTATTGAATACAGCTCGCCCAAGGGAGCACAACTGATTGCCATTTAAATGTGTGCAGTGTGCAAGGTTCAGTAGCGGAAAGCAGTCAAAGCATGGCCCAAGTAGCTGACGAGCTCTTGAAGAGTGTCAACGATGATGCTTTGATGGAGACCGAGGTAATGCTCTTTTCTGTCCCTTTTGTCCTCTTTCTCTGATTTTTCATTCCATATACTTTAGACTTTTCATTGATGCGGTCATGCAGTAAAGTTATTTATGCATCTGAATGTCTCGTTACCTTGTTTTCCTCTTTGGTACTCGCCATAAAGCAAGTTTAAGTTTGGAGCCAGGTTGTTTGGGCACTCATTGCATTAAAAATGCTAATGACATCCTAAAATTTGGGTAAACAGAAAATAGCGTCCTTTCATGCTCATTTTTCTGCTGAGAAGGCAATAGTACTGAAGGTATACAAGTATGTATACACAATAATCATAAAGGTATTGGTCTGTGCATAATATACAGTAAATATTTTTGATCTGCAATATCTTTTATGGCATACCTACCACTGTAGCCATTACAACTTGTAATTGTGAGGTTTCGCTAAATTGGAGTATAA